AAATATAAAGAATAAATATAGAATCTTTAATGATAATATTTATAACTTTAATAAAACTAGGTTTTTAATAAGTATACTTTTATATGTTAAGATTATTATAGCCTTAGAAAAATATAGATAGTCTTATATAAAGTAGCTTAATAATTAGGAATATATTTTATAATTATTATAGTTAATATAATTAGCTAGATAGTATCATTATTCTTAATTATAAAAAGTTAATATTATCTTCTTAATTAATATACTAATGATAATTTTCTAAAAGATTAAAAAGTTTATATAAGTAATAATAGCTAGACAATAAATAAGATTAGTTTAAAATAGTTATAATATTTTAATAAATATATTAAAATATATATAAAAAGTAAATATTGTCTTCTTATCTTTAATAGTTATAAAAGCTATCATTCAATAGATTTTAAAGAATATTATAAAAAAAATAATATTATTATACTTTATATACTTTCTTATTCTTTTTATAAGCTTTAGCTACTTAATATTAGATACTTTAGTATATTAAAGAACTTATATAGTTAAGTAATTAAGTAGATAATATAAATATAAATTATCTATATTATAAAAAATAACTTTTTTTCTATATTTTAAGATATATATAATATTATTATAACTTTAATAAATATTAAAGCTAGATTTTATATAATTAGACTTATTCTATTTAACTTAGATAAGATAATATCTTAGCTAAAAAGTCTATCTTATCTAGTTATATCTTAGGTCTTATAACTTAATATTACTTTTACTTAAGTTAGACAAATATTAAATAATCTAATTAAAACAACTTTTTAAACAATTTTAATTAAAAATAAGATCTTCTATCATTAAAATAACTTTCTAATATATATTTATAATAAGATTGATACTTTTATATAAAATATAAAGAAAGTTATATATAAAATCGTCTTAATAGAATAGAAGATCTAAGACCTTTAGATAGCAAATAAAGTACTAAGTAAACGTTAAAAAGCTAAAAAAATATATCTTTGATAAAGAAGATTACTATTATAATAAGAGGTAAAGCAAATATAAGAAGAAAGAGGCTTTATAGCTAAAGATAATATAAAAATAGGTGAAGGAAAGGGTTATATAAAGAGGGACTAACGGTATATTCGATATTATAACAATTGTGGAAAGCCTAGCTATAATATATGAATATGTTAATTAGATATAGAAATGTCTGAGGATAAGGATTCTAAGTAGTTTTAATTGATTTAAGTTATTATAGTGGAAATAACTTATATAAAGGTGGTGTGGCGTACGAAAGTAGCCTATTTTGGTCTATTGGCTTACTCGTTATATAAGTACGTTATATTAAAAAGAAAGAAAAAATATACTAAATATTTAGAAAGTTATTTGAGTTTTAAAAACTTAATATTATATTATAATATTAGTATTAGTAGTACTATTAATACTAATACTATACTACTAAATTACCAACCTTGATTATAATATACTAAATTAGTAAATACTATAATTATAGTATACCAAATTATAGTAATACTAATTTAGTAATACTAATTTAGTATTTTTATAGTATTACTATAGTAGTAAAAACTAATACTAATACTATAATATTAATTTACCAACCCTGGATAAGTATAATGATACTAAAAGGGCAGTATCTTAGGGACCTACCAGGCCCTGAACAGGTCTCTGAAGGAGCCCTTACGCACAGGCCAAGAACAGCCTCACTACTACCCTAGGTACTCTGTAGGAGAGTGGGAGGCAAGCAGTAGTCTTCTCTTCACCTAGCAATAGCTTGGGATTAACTTGCTGGTAAACCCCTCTCGTCTCACCTTGCACAGTGATCTCTACTCACGATATCCTTGCATAATAGTAACAGCGGCCCCCAACCGGATATTTTCGAACGAGAAAACTATGCCTACTCAGTCGATGGCCCATCGTGGGATTTGGGTACGCCCTAAGGTCCCCGTGTTATCATACTGTTAACAGAGTCTTGCTCGTTGCAGGCAAGGTGTGTGCGGAAGCGACTTGTCTTAAATGGTAAACGGCGAAATGAATGATGGCATAGCTACAAGGGGGCTAAATTGAGCGAGATATCTTAAAAATCTAATATTGTTTCAAGCAGTTAATATCTTATGTTGCACCCATCTTCAATTCACAAGTCAGGCGCGGACTGGAACCTGTCGGGAGCAATTCATAGGTCATGGACATCAGGAACAACAAATTATAAGTCGCCTTTCCCAAGATCGCGTGCACTTACAACACGAGACACAATAAAAAGTTCCTTCTTGTGCAAGATTCAGGCTGCAATTACCCATAGGTGTTCAACTCTCCCGAGAGTGCCAGCCGAACAGCCTCCTTGGTCCGATCGTCCAAATCCTCCTTCGGCAACCCCAGTGCCTCGTTCGCCAGCCCATACTTGGCCTCGCTGTTACCTGCACCATCCGGAAAGAACGATCGCGTATACATACTATGACGTGTGGAGTCAGCGATTGCCTTATGTATACATGTATATGGCGATAGAGCAGGAAAAAGCCACAATGAACATTTTGTAAGGAGTGACTCCTTAGACCTGGACCAGGTTTCTGTCCTCGTCTTCGATGCATGGCCACGAGACGAGAAGAAATGAAATCCGGCATCTACTTACATCCTTACGTAGGCGGAACGGTCACCACCCTTGAGGTCCTCCATGGCTTTCTGCCAACGTGTGTGTGAATTCTCGCTTGTGATTGTCCAGTCAGCATCTGTTGTGCCCGTTACACGCTTCACGCTCTCGAACATCTCTCTCTGGCTGATAGTGAAGCTCCCAATGTATACCGTGCCGTTGCGCCATTGGCTTAGAGTTGGCGAAATGTCGTCTGCATCTTCAGGTAGCTCTTTCAAGCTCAACAACGCAGCGCATGCCCGGCCGTACTGATCCCAAGTGCTTGTGGTAAGCTTTGCCTCGCCATTATCGAGTAGATGCACCTTCTTCTCCCGCAAATCGAAGCCAAAGTGGTTCACAGAGCCCCCGAGGCTGAATTCGTACCAATAACCACCACTAAGCACTACATATGAGCTTACCCCAAGGGATTCAATCTCTTTCATGTAGCCCTTCCCTTGAATGCCGTAGAGGCTTTCTTGGGCAAAGGTCTCATCTGCAGGGTCTTGACCGTAAATATTGGGGATGACCCACGGTACGCCGGCCTCTGCTGCGGCTCGATGTAACTTGCTTGCAGTATCGGAAGGTGCTCGCACATTGAGAGTGATGATCAGAACCTGCTGTCCCTTCAAGGCCTCGACAAGGGACGACTCATCGGTGTAGTCTACAGCAATTGCTTTGACGCCTTCGGGCAGGACATTCTTGCTTCCAGGGCGGGTGAGTGCCGTTACGGTGTGCTTGCCTGTTCCGAGAAGGCTGTGGGTAAAGTATTTGCCGACATGGCCAGCAGCCTGATGCAACGTTAATATCGACATCTGCAAAATAGACGCCGTAGTATACCCACTCCAACGACGGCAACTCTCTCAATCCTATTGGTGAAGCCGGCAGGCATATCTTTTGCGTACTTGATCGCCATTTTCTTGGCAGGAGGAATGATTTGTCGAGTGGTAAGTGTCCTGAAGTTGAGCGGGCGAGTAGTAGCAGAGGTTAGTAAATTATTTACACTTGGGGCGGGACAGATGCTTGGTCTGAAGACGCGGATAATAGCTGAGAGTATGTGAGACATGTCGACAGCAATGTAGCAACCCACCCAGAGCTGGCTCCCTTTATACTTTCTCTACGGTGACGTATATTCAGTCTTTACTCCGAGAACCTGCCGGTGCATGAACGACCTATCACTACCCGAGGCGAGTAGTGCGAGGCAGAGAGTATTCTCGTAAACCGAGCCTAGCACAGATTATCCACATGCGTTGTATCCGTCTTGGCTGATGCTCAGTTCCTAAGTCCATGCATATTTCCGTATTGGGAAATCCAGAAATCCGAGATCTTCTCTGGTGGGCCAGCGCCACGGGCTACAACGTACCGCTATCAGGCTTAGCATAGGCCGTCCCATTGTCGAACCCCGCGCGGATGGCATGGACTTCAGAAATAGGAAATTGTAGCTCCGATAGGGAGTTTCAAGTACTTAGCAGCGCTCATTAAATTTCGATTTTATGCAACTGATGTCTCAACTGTTTCGGCCGAGAAGAATCTACCACACAAACATGCCAATTGATGTCCACACTCCGACGGCGCTATTGAGCTCGTCGACTACAATTGGCATGAACTCAGGTAAGACATGACGACCGCTCTGTAAGCAGTCACCTGAGGGATTATGAGAGGCCAAGATTGTGCCAATACACATGGGAACCTGATCGGATATACATGGAACAAATCGAACGAGCTATCCTTTGCATCAACATTCATCCGTGAGCTTATCAAATGATGACTTAGTACCGCAAGTGTACTTCGTTCCAGGGCGAACGAATACGTAGAGTAGATCAGACATCACCGGCCGCATTGCATCGTGCAGTTCTGTCGAGCTGTCGGATTGTCTCTTATCCACGATCAACACGAAAAACAAATATCCACGTCAACAGCGTCTATCGAATCCAGCGCCTGTTGGCTCCTGCTTGATAGTCCTGAAGCCCGTTTCAAAGGCTTGCTAAACATGAATGTTCTACCAATAGTGGGCACGGGCAACTCATACCTCGACCTCGACCTCGACCTCTGCTGGCGAAATCCGACCAAGGGTTCTATATAACCTTGACAAAATGGCGTCTGTTCAAGCCGTGTCCAGACACCGGACAATCATGTCTAGATGACAGCGTATTCCAACAAGACTACGATGTTGTTCCTCTGTGTGATGATGTTTAGGAAGTACTAAGTCTCGTGATGACGCTGTACGAAATCGCTGACTGGCATGGCGCGACACATGATGTGTCATACAAGAGGTGTAATACTCCCATGGCAAGACCACTCCGGTGTACCAACTTGAATTGTGGACCAGTAATACCAAGTAAACGCCAATGAAATACCAGTACGACGGGCCTTCCAGGTGGCAGCCATAGATAATTGCCCGTCTAGATAGCAAAATACTTATTAAGCACCTGAGAACCTCGTATTGTGCGGCGGCCAGTGCCGGGAGAAGACCAGAATCTGTCTGCGTTTGGACATGCGACATTCACTTCAACCTGCATATGTGGCGGGAGCAATTTGTTAAGACCAATCTGTGAGGATTTCATTGAGCTGAATACAGAATATCCTATCTGCTATGGGTCGTTGGTTGCCGATTTCGGGACGGGGGTGGGCCGATCGGGACAGGGCCGATCGGCATCCCCTGCCGATGCCAGGCCGGCTTCTCCTTCACTCACCCCTCGCTCGACGAATTCACAAACCCTTGCTTTCGATTTCAGAGCACAACAAACTTATCAAGACTGTCCACAATAACGTAGTTTTCAAACGCCGAAATCAATATTGTCATGGCATTCCCCAAGGTACCCGCCAGCGGTGTCTGGTGTCCCGCTGTCACTATGTTTGATCCAGCAACGGACAGTCTCGACTTGGAGGCTCAGGCCAAATATTACTCTTACCTATCACAAACGGGTCTGGCAGGACTGGTCATTCTCGGCACAAACGCCGAGGCGTTCCTCCTCACACGCGAGGAGCGCAAGGCACTCATCGCAACGGCGCGCAGTGCCTGCGGCCCGGATTGTCCGTTGATGGCTGGTGTGGGCGCGCACTCAACCCGCCAGACTCTGGAATTAGTCGAGGACGCAGTCGCAGCCGGCGCGAATTATCTATTAGTGCTTCCACCTGCGTACTTCGGAAAGGCCACCACCCCTGCCGTCATCGAGAGCTTTTTCGCAGACATCGCGGAGAAGAGCCCGATACCGGTCGTCATTTATAACTTCCCGGGCGTCTGCAACGGTGTCGACTTGGACTCGGCCATGATCGCCAAGCTTGCAAAGCGACACTCCAATATTGTCGGGGTTAAACTGACATGTGGCTCAGTTGCCAAAATCACCCGCCTTGCTGCTGAGCTACCATCGGAGCGTTTCGCCGTCTTCGGGGGCCAGTCGGATTTCCTACTCGGTGGCCTCGCTAGCGGTTCTGCTGGCTGTATCGCTGCATTTGCCAATGTGTTTCCCAAGACAATTGTGAAGATCTACAACTTGTGGAAAGAAGGCAAGACCCAGGAAGCCCTCCTCCTACACCAAAAGGCTGCACTGGCAGAGCAACCGTGCAAGAGTGGTATTGCCGCAACAAAGTACGCTGCTGCTATTTTCACTGCCAAAGCTGCTGGTATCGAGGATGCCGTGACGAAGATGCAACCCAGGAGGCCGTACACCGCTCCTTCGGAAGACGCGAAGAAGGTGGTCCAGGAGACCATGGCCGAGGTCGCCACGCTTGAGTATCAATGATTCATTTGATCTGAGAAGACTTACTTTGCGAGAAGGAAGTGGATATGTCGAGATGGATATAAAAGTCATAGAACGCGATATTCCATGTATTTAACTGTGATAGACTTGAACTTGCAGGACAAGCTGCCTCATTCGTACCCCGTTGCTCACATGACGTGCCTTTCGTGGTTTGTCAACAAATCCCAATATTCGCAAGAAAGGGGTACAGAAACCAAGAGTCATGTGAAGTAAGCCTAATTCAGAAGAGTACTCTTGCTTTTCTTCCGTGCAGTTCGTGTCCAGGAGGATCGTCGATTGTCGCCGTTCTGAACAAGCAAGCGGCACAAAATCTCGATATGCATGTGCTCTACCACGATATTCACGGCATGATTCAGGTCGTTTCGCAGGACGATGATCTGAAAGAGGTGAAATTTATGGGAACTTTGTGGCGGCTGCTTGGCGAAGTCCAACGACCTAGTGAACCGCATACCTGATATTACGCGAATGCTTGAAGGATTCTCGTGACCGCCATAACTAACCGTCGTAACGACAGCTTGTTTGCCTTTGGAGAGCTGGCGGGGGATTTTTCTTCTTCAGCTATACTCGACTTGTTTTTCGAACCGCCAAATATACCACCATGTACTTGCAGTCTAGTCTCCTTGCCCACTTCATTACACAGCTAGCAGACACGATCATGAAATTGATGCAGGCCTTGCCAATGGGATCTCACGAAAGGTTGGGGGGAGAACATACCACGCGAATAGGCCGTTATTTGTAGCTATAACGTTGTTCCGGTATCGCAATGTATTAGTGAGAAAGGCCAGCGATGGAATTATAGATTCTTCCTATTTATCTCAGAGGGTGAGCATCGTACACTTCACTGCCATGTTTCCTCGGACTGCGCTGCAGCACTGTCTTTTGAATTCGCCGGGAAGACCAGTGCCCATCGAGGTGATTGTCGATCGTGGCATTTCTATCGACTTAACCAGTTGGTAGCACATTGAGCCACGCAGCTCGTTCTATAACCAATCACAAAAGGAAATATCAGCGTCACGGAAAGGATCACTTTACATGCTCCTGCTCTGCTTTGAATTCGTGCTGATTTCCAATAAGTTGGACAATACGAAGTAGAAATCACGCTCTTGAGATGTGAAGCTACCACCAAGATATCTAGGTACCTATCCATATCTGGCCTGGAAGAGTGGTTGAAGGTGAGACTGCCAACTTTATTTAATTAACGTTAGTGGATTAGGTAGGTACTTCCCCTACTGTAGGTACCTAGGTACCCAGCCAGCGTACGATACCCACTTTACCTAAGAGGACATCTCTTGGCGCGTCGTCCGTGGAACCTCGGAATCTCTACCATTTGGCGTGCACAAGGCACGCTTTCAGTTACACTTGATCGGCAGAGGACAATGTGAGCTCGAGCAAGGGAAGGCGATGCACACTCTTGTAGGTCCCTTGATAGATTGTCATTTCCCGTGACCTCTATTCCTTTATTTTGATTGAATATAAATAATTTTTTTTGTCGTCATTGAAGTCGCGCCCATGTCGGATTCGCGATGCTGCTCTCCCGGTACCGTTTCTCGAGGCTGCTGAGATCTCTTCGCCAATATCGCCGTCCTCTCCTGCAAATCATCGCCCTTCTTTTCGTTATCGACGCCCTATGTCTCATCGCGGACCGGCCGCAGACCGTCCGAACGCCTCTCCTGCCCCGAACCACTTCGGGCGTCTCGAAGAAACACGATGCGTCTGCAAACACGACCATTTTCATCGCTTCCGTGCATCGTAACACCGAGGGTATACTAAAGTCAGCATGGAACAAAGCGGTTCTCGACCTCGTGGACTTCTTGGGGCCTCCCAATGTCCATATTGTCGCACTGGAGTCCGGCTCCCAAGACCAGACCAAAGAAGCCTTGACCCAACTAAAGGAGCAACTGGACGCCCGCCATGTTTCCAACACGGTTGTCTTGGGTATGACGGTGTGGGAGCAGCTGGAGGAGCTGGATGCCCGTCCGGATCCCCAGGCGCCCAGGAAAGAGGGCTGGATCTGGAACAAGGAGGACAGCCACTACGATATGAGGAGAATCCCATACCTGGCCCGGGTCAGAAACCAGGCAATGGAGCCTCTGGCAGCGCTCCAGAAAGAGGGCAGGACGTTTGACAAGGTGTTGTGGCTCAATGATGTGGCATTTGACGTAAGTTTTCCCTTTCTGTGCTGACTGTGTCGGATGAGCACTGATGTGTTGCACGAGCAGACCGAGGACTTCCTGACTCTCCTCCATACGCGCGACGGTTCTTATGCCGCCGCCTGTAGTATGGACTTCAAGGAATATCCGCTCTATTACGATACATTTGCCTTACGGGACGAACAGGGGCAGAAGGCTGTATCGCTATACTGGCCGTGGTTCCTGAGTCTAGAGGCCAGGAGGGCAACGAAGCGAGGAGAGCCTGTCCGCGTCAAGTCATGCTGGAACGGCATGTTGCTCTTCGATGCGGCACCGTTCTACGCAGACCCGCCACTCAAATTCCGGGGCCTACCCGACAGTCTAGCGGATCTGCACCTGGAAGCAAGCGAATGCTGTCTGATCCATGCAGACAATGCGCTGAGCACGGAGCAGGAGAAGGGTGTGTGGTTGAACCCTAATGTCAGGGTGGGCTATAACGAGGAAGCATACCAAGATATTAGGGGGCACAAATTCCCCGGCGTTGCCGCGACGGTGACGGGAGCATGGATAAACCGATGGCAACGCTGGAGAGGCAGTGTGCAGCAAACTCTGGAACAAATTCCCGTGCAGACGAGGCTGGCCCAGTGGAGGGAATCTGTTCCTGATGGCGGCCTGCCCAGGATCGAACCCGGCGACTTTTGCATAATCAACGAGATGCAAATCATGTGGCAGAATGGCTGGAAGCATCTCTGAGTCTTCTAGAAGTACGACTAGTTGTACAAAACATGCAAGCAGATGGTTCTATTCAACGCTGGTTGGTATTTCCCGCGGTTGAACTCTCAAAGAGATGTCTCTATCTTCTCTTCACATGATGCCACCCATGGGTGAAAGCGCCCAATACCCGTAACGCCGATATGCTTCTTTCTAACATGTTAATGGTCACAATGCAGCAGCGATGGCTGCTGCTCTCCCTCGGCTCCTTACTCTACTACTTGTTATGCCAGAGCAACGTTCTCAGACTATCCCAATCGTTACTCTGGACGTAGATGTAGTTCATACTACTCCTGAGACTTGGCTGCAGGTCCTCTGGGTAGTACCTGAAGAGCCACATCACCATGCCCCAACTCACGCTGGCGAACACTGGCCAGGCGTAGTAGCTGACCTTGGAAGCCACAGGCTCCTTTGAGATGATGGGCAGGCCGATCGGGGAGTCCGCCCTGACGGCTAGCCGCGCGAGGGCGAGGGCGACTCTAGCAAACACGTAAATGACGATTTGTTGGTTGACGGAGGAGATCTTGCCGTGGCGAGAACGGCCGCCAAAGACAAAATAACCGCCGAGGAGGCCGGAGATGAGAGGATCGTACGGGCCTGAAAGAAGCCCAAGCAGTTAGCTCAAATCCATGTTCTCCGGGGGGTCTAATTGGCCCGCATATGAAAAGCCGTAAAGCAGTTGACTGACCTTCCTTGCCCGGGGTTGGCCCGAAATGCTTGAGCAGCATACAGGTGAGCTTGTATATGGTCGCGAACTTGGCGAGATTGCGTGCGTGTGTGCGGGTTGCTTTGTATACGAGCCAGATCTTCTCGCGGACGCTATTGTTCAGCAAATGTCAGAGGAGGCTATTGTCGGGCCGAGAGAGAGGAGACTTGGAATGAGGACGAGCACGTACGTTCCAGATCGAAAGAGAAAGATCATGCTGAAGAATAGTATGCGCCTGTTAGCATTGTTGGATTCTTATGGCGAAAGGGGGGCCGGGAAGCCGTACACAAGCGCGTGGGGAAAGCGGACTTTGGTGCCATAGACGGCGCCATTGCGAGCGGCCTTGAGGACGGCGAGGAGGTCATGGTAGCGAGGATCGAGGATGATGCGCTCAATGGCCGCCTATGCAAAGTGAGAAGAAGCATCGTTGTCAGCCTGGATCTGGATCTGCTGGTGTGGCCAAGCGAGCGTTGTTGGCGGGCATCTGGGGATTGCGCACCTTGAGGCCATCGAGAGCGGCTGGCATTGTGCCTCGGTAAATCTACAGTGGCGGCCGGCAGGGCGGCAACTGGAGCGTGTCGCGCGTGCTCTCTCTCTCTCTCTCTCCTTGTCGCTCTGTCGCTTTGCGTGCACTCGATGGTCGAGAGGGCCGCGATTGATAGGAAAAGGTCACGTCATCGGCCGACGGTTTTTTTTTTTTTGCTGTTTCTGGTCGAGAAAGCAAGAGCAATGGAGAGGTCGAGGCGCAAGGTCAAGATCGGGTGACGGGGGGAATGTGAGAGTTGGTGGAAAGCAATGATGTATGAGAGGTACATGTAGGTAGCTACCGCTACCTGGGCAGTACTGCGTACACTCCTGCCAGGTGCCTAGGCTAGGCAAGCTAATCTGCCCGCGGGACGGCATGTGAGTGAGCATGGCCGCCACCAGCAAGCTGAAGTACCTACCCATACCTTAGGGAATAATTGATTAGCAGTCTAGGTAGGTACCTACCTTGGCTCGCTTGGTAGCTCTCTCCACATTCCCCCGCAGACCTTACCTACGCTCCTGGCTCTTTCGGCTACCTACCCAAGTAGTGTACAAGTACAGGCTGTTCCTAGGTAATGTATGTGGACTCAACACTCTGCTAGGTAATGCGTAATAATGCGTAGGCCACGTCTGACCAGCCTCAGCCATTGGAGCGCTGGTACCTTGCCTGAGCGGGAGAGGCTTAGCTGGTTGTAGGCCAAGTTGAATTTCCTTTGCATGTGAATTTCCGATCCCACCTGGCGTCCAGGTTGGTAGTGATTACAACGTTATGTGTATGTAGCCTTGCAACTCAACTCATCTCAACCCATCTCAACTCAGCCAAGAACCCTGGGCTTGTGACGTAGCCCCGAGATGGAATAGTAATGTGAGAACATATCTCCCTTAGCTAGCTAGCTAGCTAGCTAGGAACGATCCGTATTCGTTTCAGTATGTATTGTTCTGGGCAATCTGATTACCAAGAACCTTCATCTTCTCCAGAGCGTTGTGATACAGCTCTGGAAGTGCCACCGGCCTAAGTAGTCAAGGGGCTTGCGTTCGGAATGCTATCAGTTTGCATAACGATGATCTTTGCAAGTACTCGTTGCTTAGCTGGCTCTATATATGCCGAGTCTCCAAGAGGAATGCCTTGCCGTCCTCCGTCAAAGTCTCGTGGACGGTTCTCAACACCAAGCCGTGCAAGGATGGCGGCGCTGCGACAAAGCCATGATTGCTCTTCAGCTTCCGGCCCGCCGTCCAGTCAATCTCCTGTCCATCCACGTCCGTAACCTTTCCTCCAACTTCTTCAAACAAGAGTATAGCGCCTGCGTGGTCCCAGATCTTAGCATATCGTTCCCGGCTCTTGTATACCCAAACTGTCGTGTTGGCCAGGCCCAGTGCCAGGACAGCCCATCTCGGCACCCACCCCAGCAGGTCACAGCCCGGAAACGGCACACCCAGCTTCTCTGTGATCTTCTTGTGAACCCCATCCACCCCAGAGTCTAGCAGGTTGAAGCACGAGACAGACCGAAGGTGCTCCGGCATCGTCGCCGCCGCCGCGTGCCGAGGTAGTCTCTGTGCCTCCACGTTGCTCACCGAACCCGGGAGCGGCCTTACGTATGCGCCAAAGTCCTTGACTGCGAACAAGATGCAGCCTCTTCCTGTTGGGTCGACCGTGTCGTTCGCAACCGGCGCCGTCGCCTCGGGGCTGATCGTCGGACACGCGACAACGCTTAGGACTTGTCGTCCGCCCTCCAACAGCGCCACGTTGACGGCATAGGCCTCACCTCGAACAAACGTCTTTGTTCCGTCAATCGGGTCAAATACCCACACCCGCTCACTCCCACCAAGAGACGCGGTCGGCAGCCCCTGCCCGCACCAGTCAATCATCTCGCATGCCTGGTGCTTCGTCTCGGGTGCTCTACACCCCCTAGCCACATCGTCGTCCGCGGTGATCGTCTGAAGCAGGTCCCACACTCGGTCTAGGAGGACAGGATTGCTTCGTAGGTCAGCGGCCGTCTCCTCGCCCACAAACCTGTCATTGGGAAAGGCATGGTGGATTGTGGCGGTCAGCAAAGCCTGGATGGCAAAGTCTGCAACAGTGACTGGGCTTAAATCGTCCTTCTCTATCACTCCTCTATCTGCCACTGAGAGAACGGCACGACTGATGGCTACTGCTTCCTGGACAGCGCCGATTGCTACCAGCAGCTCTGCGCGGTACGGGCTGTCCATACGTCAAGAGCATTCGTCCCGGCCGCCAATTGCTTCGTGTGCTTCGCCAGAATGTTCTTGGACTTCACTTTGGGCGTCTACGAGGATGGCCAAAGTAATTACGAAATGTGACCACTCCGAGGAGGTGTTTTCAAAGTGATGGCGGACCGAAGCAACTATGGGGACGGCGGGTGAGAAATTGAGAACGGCCGGGTCGCCAACGATCCACGTGGCGCGGCCCGGGCTCGGTGCCGGCCCAACTATAGAACTTACCAACATGAAGTGAAGTTTTAGCAGATCTGCTCAACGAGCTGTAATGTAGAGAGCGGTCCTTGCAAAGCCCCAGAGCTATATTGCAACGGAATCCCAGCAAAGCTGTTACAACTATCAATGCATCAAATGGCAAAAGGGGACAGTTATGCAACAGAATATCCCATGAACAGGACTGTGCGATCAGAAGTTGGTTATGCTATCATCTTGCATCTTGCATCTTGCATCTTGCCATGCGCATCTCTAAAACTGTATATTCACAACAATAGGCACTACGCCAAACGCCACCCCATGCATCTTTTTGAATCTCCCATCCTACGAATCACGTCTCTTCAGACAAGAAGCACAGCATTGACACAGCCATCATTCTAGAAGCAAGTCAGCAAGGGATCACTAGGTGTCTGAGAATAGGGGACCATTCTGACTTCGGGGTTGTTCGTGACCTGGGCCCACCTTCCCCATACAACTTTGCCTGTAGTGGTCCTGTGCGCTCGCGGTCAGCATCACATATTTCTAGATACGGTACGTGGAAGTCCTTACGTCAAACCCATCTCTGAAACGTTCACTTCCAGAATCGTGCCTTTCGTCAGAACTCCGAGCTGTGTGTATAGGGGGCTAAAAGCAAGAAATCAGCATGTGATAGACATAGTAGTCACCAAACAACGGGGAAATAGAGATTTCCAGCGAGCGAACATAACTGTTCCGCAAACATCTCCAGAACAGGTCAGAGCGAAGGTGTGTCAGCAGGATCTTCTTACTTTTGAGGGTTTTTCTTGACCTAGAAGGGTGTCAGTTCACACAAGATAGGTCATCGCAGAAGAGAAAACTTACGGATATAATGGGAAGCTGAACCGTGACACCTAGTTCTGGGTGGGTGACATTGGCCTGCACTCATTAGCGAATGACCGTAGCATGGCTATTTGGCATGCACACCTTCTTGTAACGCAAGCCCCTGGTCCAGTTGTTAGCACGATTCAGACTTTGCAAACTCCGCGATATAATGTTCCCTTCTTGAAGAAACGGCCTAACTTACATCGGTCTGATGAATCTCTCGTACTTGACTGGTCGGCGAGTGAAGTCAGGGCCGACAAACGTTGGCTTTGTGACAACACGCTTCCAGGATTTCTTCGCAGTCTTCTTGCCTGTGTTGACGCTAGATACGCTCATCAGCAAATCAGCACACCGGAACCGGGAAGAGAAACACCAACACTTTGAACATCTCCTCCTCTGAAATTCCCCTAACCTTGGGTAGCGGCACAGCGAAACGGGCTGCCTTCTCAGAGCGCTTATTCTTGATAGCGGAACTCAGAGCCTTTGCCGAGCTAGGGTTTGATCGGTCGAGCAAGTATGAGGGGACGGGGTTGGAAGGCTCTTTGTCGCCAGGTGCAGATTTGACATTGCGTTCCTCGTGGGCACGGATGGCTTTCTTCATCTGAATCTTCTCCTTGTGCCTCTTCTCGGCGTGCATCTTAGCCCGTAGACCTCGAAGATTTTGGGCCTTCTCCGATGCCTCGTGACCCTCACGGGCGGTTCGTTTTCTGAGTCGTTCTTCATGATCCAGGCGTCGACCGTGCAACTTCCGGAACCTTTCCATATACTCGTTCTGCGGCTGTTCGTGGTGACTTCAGATTAGCAAATATTGTCAAGCAACGAAGAGACTGCATCAGACGCACCATGGCGGCAAGCGGTGCCCTCTAAAGGGACTTTGGAGAGAGTAAAATATAACGCCCTGCTACGGAAAAGAAGCCACTTCTTTGTAGGCGTTCGTGGCGCTGAGATTGGAGGATGGTATCAAGGTGCGTGGGAATCGTGATACTTGCGGGATGGCAATGGAAATCGAGTGGCGGCGTATTTCCTTATCGCCTGGAGTTTTTTTCCGCTGATAACGATGAAGCGGAGACAAGGATTTTCCTGCCGACCCCACCCTCTCTGAGCATCTATACGGCTATACCTACCAGGACACTGCCTTAAAATTCTTAGCGCCTATCCAGATGCCGAACTACATACGCGAATCTCGAGAGTGGTGACCAGAACCAGAGAAGACGACGCACATTTGAAAAGTTGTTTCGAAACTAGAAATAATAGTCTATCATGTACACAGCAGATGCCTGCTGTCAGACAGCCTCATATTTCTCTACTCCATGAGTATTTAACGTCCTCCTTAGTACCTCTCTAGGCGATCTGGGAAGTAATTGATTCTAGCTACCGCGATACGCGATGCATGATCTATCGGGAGGCATCAATGCTGTCGATGCAATCCCATATCAGGTTGTTTCAGGCTGGACTCATAACTCTTTGGTATGATGGTTAATGACTATCGCTTCCCCGACGGATTTATTCTGGGGTTTTCGATCGCGCGTTGAGAGGTAACTACCCGAACCCTTATAAGGCAGAAAGAAAAAGAAAGAATACCCCATAGTCTCCCTATCTTCGCCTCACCTATGCATCTCGCTCCGAATTTCGTACTACACCTAGGCTCCAGGCGCGGTGACAGCTAGGAATAGTCTCTCCCTTTTCATGATAAGACTCAGCACAGCCACCAAACCTCCCGCGACGATGACTAGGATATAAGGTCTACACATTGCCTCTACAATGGCATCCAAGACCTGAAGTTGTAACTCTGGGCTCAATTTCTCCACGAAGTTCCCACCGACCCCGGCCACGGCAGCTTCAATCTGTTCTTGGCCAATGCTGGGCGGAAGGATACGTTGGAGCGTGTCTTCTGCTCTGTTGAGAAAGACGGCATTCGCAATGGCCAAAGAGATGGTGATCCCTGCAGTCTGCCCGAGAGCTATGAATGCTGCAGCCATGGCATGCTGCTCATCGGGAACGGAGGCCTGTGCTATCGAAAACCCTGCTTGTGTAAACATGCCAACTCCAGCACCAGTAAGAGCAGAGGCACCGTATACCCATGCTTGAGAGGTTGTCCGATCGACGAGATACATGAGAACTCCACCTGCAACAGCAAAACAGCCTCCAACCAGAAACCACGGCATGTACAGCCCATACCTGCCCGACGGATGAGATAGGAGAGCCCCTTGTGCGAGTGTAATGAACGCCATGACAAGTATGAATGGCAGTAGACGGACGGCGGCTGCAACGGCACTATCGCCCCTCGTGAACTGGAAAAAGAGGGGAATAAAGTAAACTGGCACAAATATGCCACATCCGCCCGCAGCCGTTGTGCAGAACATGATGACTACCGTGCGAGCGGACTTGGGTGACGTAATAAGGTCAATGGGGAACAGGCGCCGACTCCTCGTAACACCAACCGTGAAAGCTTGTTGAAGTCCGAACACAATGAAGAGGACACCTGCGACAACGAACAGTGCAATCTCAGGTCCCGATGACCATTCATAGAGGATGCCGCCAAAGTTTATGCCCATAGTGAAGGATACAATCGCGCCGATCAGCAGAACCGAGCCAACGAAGTCGATTTCTACCAAACGGGCCTTCAGTGAGGCACCTTGCCGAGGATCAGGAGACGGCAACACTTCGAATTTGGAGTCAGCAATTGCCTTTTGAAGACAGTGGAAGGATTTGAGAAGGCTAGAAGAGAGATATCTTTCGAGACTAGCCCTTCAAAGTTGACCGAGCCATTTTCAGCCATGCTCAAGATATGGCTCATAAATAAGAATGGACGCCAGGTTGCTTACTGAATAAATACACTGGACCAGCAAAAGCACCGATGACAAGGTTGATGTAGAATGCCCACCTACGAATATCAGTTACCGTCACGCTAAAGTTGACCGATTCGGGATTGCCTTACCGCCATGTTGCTGAAGAGTCGGCGAACGCTCCGCCAACGATCGGCCCAAGAATCTATTGAATTTGAAGTCAGTAGCAGCTTAATTATAACAGTGGATAAGTCCCGGGATGCTTTGATGGGTATGCCAAGAGCAACTTGATCTGGATTGTGGCCAGCTCTTGAATCCTAGGAGTACAGATACGAGATATGGACGTAAATTCAATATTACTTACCGTGCCAATAGCCCACGTGATACCAATGCCTGCGATATACTGCAACAAACAGAGTCAGCGAAACAGGAATTGAAATGAACGAGGGAATGACGAGTGATCATGCTCCCTGTGTTCAAGAAACGCTAAACTGTAGCCCGATCCAATATCATGAAATCGACAGGGGGGCTACAGTCAGATGACAAACAAAGGTTGAGAACCTGCTTACAATCGGACGCTCCTGGATCGAGGTCGTAGATGCAACCAATGTCATGACGCCTAGGTACATTCCAATACCTCCCAGGCCACAGAGGGCCCTTCCAACTATCCTACGACACCTGGAGTCAATAATAGCCGTTTAGTTACGGTGAAGGAGCGAGAAGAGGCCTCAAGACATCTCATGAGGACTAGATCCCCTGGAATGGACAGCGTCTTTGTCTCCAATATTCGAAGTTTGCCCATGATACGTCAGGAGGAACTGCAAAAGTTGCTTACATCGCATCCACTATTGTAGTTGATATTAATACTTGAGTAGATAGAACGAGACGTGTCTTGGCCGTGTTGAAGCCGGATAGCTCTCCCTGTTGAGTACGGGAAGTGGCCGTTTGGGTGTCTGGAGAACAAAAGGTGGACCAATGTCGAAGGATATACTTACTATTCGGTGCCGCACCGCAGACAGCGCTACCAATTTCAAAAACAACAACGCTCACAATATATAACCATTTCGGAAGAAGTTGCGAATATAATTGGCCGTATAGCAAGGTGAATGATAGAGCGCCCATGATGAAGGCCACAGATAGCCAGGCTATTTGGTCGATCGCATCGAATTGTAGAACGATTTGCGGTTGAACATCTGCAACGACGGTGTTGTCGAGAGCAAAGAGAAACGTAGACGAGAGAATCGAGACGACCACAACGACCCACTTAACACCGTGAATGTTACGCACTGGATTCTCTCGTATGGGAGGTTCTATTGGGTTGCCCTTCTCCGTGTCTGACATGTCTGTTGTCGTTTCTATCACCACGGAAGCGTCGTCAACGCCATTAATGTCATCTGTTTGTCGTACCGCCGACATCTCGTCCGGATCATTGGACATCCTGAGAAGGGATCGAGTGTCGGTCTATACTGGGGACGATGTTAAGCCGTAAATAGGTAAGAAGCACTTAAACTTGATAAATAGATACCGTACGGCTGGGAAAGATATCTCAGCTACCGTGGGAGACACGAGAATGGCCGCAACTTATACATGCGTGTTGTGTTATCGCTGTATCGCCTTCCGATGGTCTAATGACATTAAGAGTAGGCAATACTATGGCTATAATAGCCTACGCAACGGCGATACCCAAGGCTCTCGTAGATCCACATCTCCAGGCTATCGGTCAAAGCCGCTCCAGGAAGATTTTCTCCTTGACCGCATTGAAAAGGCTGGTTGTCCAAGAGCCATGTAAGCAAGCATTGTCCCAAAAAAGGCTAGATTCTAATTCATATCGCGGCTGAGTCTGCAGGTTGAACGCTGCTAGAATCTTGGAGCTCGGAGATATTATGCATGTTTCTATGTGGCCTAGACTTTACAAATGCTGCCAAACGGCGCTCCAAAGCGGCCGCCCCATGTCATCCAATCAAAAAAGGTGCCTTTCTGCACTATTTGAAGGCTGTCGGCCAATCCTGGGGTTTCAGCTTGGATCTTACATGCATCCGACTTTTTTTAAACGGCTACCTTAGTATCTGATAGGCGAGAGTGAAGCCGATGGCGGGCTGAATAATAAGATAATGTCTTCAGGGTTTCTCTGACACCTCAACTTTATTTTTGTCTTTTCTTTGCTTACCGAGGTGCTTGATTTGTGATATTGCGATCTAGTCGCCCCTGTATGACCCTGTCGATTTTCGTGGAACAACCCTGAATCGTGAGAAGAGTTTCGAAGGATCACAGCAATCACGACTTCTCGTCATGATATCTGTTCTCGGCTCCAAAACCTTGGGATTGCTGGACACGGTGTTGGCCTTGTTATTATTCGGTATCTTGATGGTTTGTGAGTCCGCAATAACATTATTCACCGGCTGATATTCTGTCAAACAGATCACGGACCTACAAACTGCAAAATGTATTGCACAGATCTTTAACGGATCGGTTCAAAAGGTACCTGGTATATCAATCCGAGGCATATGTGGAAGAATACAGGATAAAATGGGTGTCTGAGGGGCGGAATGTTGGCGAATAGGAGGGAGGGATTTCTCGATGCTCGCCATTACTCGAGTATTCCTCGAGTCGTGATTCCTTGTCGAATGTAATCATTCAATCTGGGAATAACGTTTAAGGTAACTCAACATTCAACAATAATTCCCGGCGCTGCACGACCTTGGAAAACGATACCGGCCATTATGGACCATTCCCGATATAATTGACTCGTTATATTTCCTCATCGCATTTATGTGGTTGTTTGAAGTTGGCACTGGATAGTGAGTTCTGGTTGCTTGCTTTGATCTCTGCACGTACATATTTACTGGATGTGTGTCCCCATGTACTCGATACGGCTGCTGCTCTTACTGGGAGGTCCTGTGACTTCACACCTTCATATTGTAGAAGGTTCCAAACTGCACACGGATCCTCAGCGGGAACACGAAACACGAGTAATATACCGAAGGCCAGAATCATGACTTATGAATTGACGAGTATGAGACAGACGGCCCAGAAGTGTTTCTAGGGTTCGAGCCAGATCAAGCACCAAGAAAGGCTATACATTTCGCATTTGATAAATCGCCATACTTTGTAAGTTAAGATCGATTTATATCTCTGTAGGACAAGCAGTCAGGTGTCTAGTCGTCTACTTTGTCGGCTGCGTGGCTGATGGCTTAGAGCATTGTTTGCAAAAGGATTGACTCTCCCGTATCGCGTCACCAAGGCCACATACAGGCCGCACGGACCGCGCTGCGAGCCCCACCCCAGATGCTTGGAACCTGGCGAGCTCCATTGAATTTTCTCGTAGCTGGCCTGGGTCACCTGGATGGACCTTAAAGAATCGACTCAACGGCCCATCATCTTGCTACTGTCAGCAACCTCGCCGCCCGAGGCGCCGCATCACTCCCACCGACACAGTTGCGGCAGTCACAATGAGTCGAGCTCTTCTGCGCTCTGTGCTGGAGCTGCGGACTCCTGTGGCAAGGCTCCCGCCCTCCTTCCTACTCCCCGTTCGAGCACGATTCTTCAACTCAACCTCGCACATCGTCGAGCCTACTACACAGACCGACGCTGGTCTTCCGCAAATCGCCCAGAATCAGAAGCCGCCTGCGCAACAAACGCCACCGGAAACACATCAGCCAGCAGCATCAACCGTTGCCGCGCCATCCTCAGAGCCCTCTGTGTCTTCGAATGGTCCTCTATCGGACTCTGTGCGCGCGTTGCTGCCATTGCTCGCCGCACAATATGGCCACTATATCACCATTCATATACACGGCCGTCCCTATCTCGTAACCCCCGGCGACTCCATTCGGCTACCCTATAAAATGCCCGGCGTTCTGCCAGGTGATGTTCTCCGGCTTAACCGTGCCAGCATCCTCGGTAGCCGCGACTTCACTCTCAAGGGAGCTCCTTATGTCGATGAACGATTGTTTGAGTGCCGGGCTGTGGTTCTGGGTGTAGAAAGTGAGCCAATGCGCATCAAGATCAAGAAGAAGCAGCGAAACAGGAGGAAGAAGACGGTCAGGAGCAAACACAAGTATACCGTGTTAAGAGTAAGCGAGCTCAAGATCAGCACGCCGGAGGAAGTCGAGGCATAAAGAGAGATTCAATCTCATGGCTTTGTTGGCGATTACTCTGTGGAGGGGATATACCGAATAGTCATCAAATCGTTCGATCCTGTTCACTAACATCCTCGGACTACAAATGTGGACAACCGATAGCTGCCTTGCAGCAATATGTATTATATGTCACTATAAAGAACGAGCCAGAAGGGCTGTGATGTTAGGCTCGATGCTGTATCGGGTCCAATTCGCATATGAATAGTATGATTATTCGACATTGAATCATGGACGCTGACGGGATGCTAAAGCAGCTATGACCAAAATAAGATATAACAGTGAATTCCCGTAGAGGAGAGATATGAGAGAAACAGCGACGGAGAGGCTGAGCTGTAGCCAGCGACAATGACAAGAGCCGCCTTATGAAACTCCAAGAAACAAGTAGGTATCCAAACGCTCTTCAATACTGTTTCACCAAGCCATGTCAAAGAATGCTCACCACTCCAACCCAATGTGAAAATAAAAAGACAATATCACGACCTCCCATCTTTTACCGATACAGCTTTCCTCACACTAGCCCAGTAAGCAGCTGGCCAAGCGCTCATTGCCTCACCGTCTGTAGGTAAGCGTTCTCGACACCGGGTGACAACACTCTGAATGATCCTGCCAAGCAGTTCCTCCGTCATTGGCAATGCATTCGCGAAACCCGGCAGATCAGATGCGAACTCAGCAGGGTACAAAAATGGATCTGTCTCCGCAAGTAACTCGTCACAGGTGGGCCGCAAATGCTGTTCCCGATTAAGGCAGCGTTTGATTGTCCGCACCAGCGAGGGCGGGACAATAACACCACCCGTTCCCTTCTCGGGGAAGTCGATAGGATGATTCCAGTTTATGATTGCATGATAGCGTGCCATCATGTTCTGAATGTGTGCGAATGGCAGCTGCCCATACACCATCTGATATAGTATGCATCCCAAGGACCAGACGTCGCTTGGTTTGCCCATCTTCACAAGCTTGGGCCCTTTAGGACCATGTGCAATGGGAAAGCGCCCGCCTTTGGCAGAAGTAAATGAGTACTGATTAGAATCCATCAAGCTCTCTGGAGACATGTAGTTCGGCGTGCCGACCTGCGTCTCTCGGTGCACATTGACGGTCTCGTCGGTTTGTATCGCATTTGCGATGCCAAAGTCAATCAACTTCAGACGCCCTTGAACCAAAACAAAATTTGCCGGCTTCAAATCGGAATGCACGATGTCATGTGCATGCACTGCTGAAAGACACTCGAGCATTTCCTTCCAGTAATATCGTATGAAGACGGGATCCAGTTTAGAGCCTTCTGAGTTCTGGCGAATTCTCAGTAGGGTATAAAGATCCAGCTCTCCCATCTCCATGAGCTGTATGACATATTATATTAGCCGTGCCTTGAAATAAATGAAAATAGGATGGACTCACCAGGCTTAGTATTTGCTTCTCTTCGTTGAGTTCGTAGTCAAACAACTGGATGACACGGTCGACGTTGGATAGTTTCTGGAGAAGGTTGATCTCTCCTTTGTAGCCCTTGACAGTAGTTTCATCGGCATTTTCGATGTTGACTCTCTTTAGGGCGAACATTTTGCCGTTCTCAGCCGTGACTCGGTATACCTTCGCGCTGCCACCCCGACCAATGCAGTCTACTCGTTGATAAGACCTCCCGTTCACCTTGAGCATTATACTCTTCTTCTTGTTTGCCTGGCCTGTCGTGGCGGCCCCAGCTGGTGCCGTCGCCGTCTCCAAGACACTCATTTTGGGTGGCGGTGGGGGCGCTGGCCGGTGGATTGGGACTACTACATGAGGTGTGTTCTGGCTCATTTGACCGAGGACTTTTCGCTCTGGGGATACAGCAGAAGATTGCACTTGTGCAACCGGGTCAATACTGAATGGCCGCCCTGGCTTCTTATCAATGTCCTTTTGCGAGAATATTCCCATGGAAGCTTTGGGTACTCTGATGGCCAAGGGGACCTCGTTCTCTTGGTCGTGAGCTGAAGGCAGTTCTGGGCGCGAACTGGGGACACGACAATTCTCCTGGAGCAAATCTACCTCCTGTGCCTCTTTGGCGGGTTCAAGCCCGGCGTGGGAAACTGTCTTTCGATGGCCTGCTCGGGATGGATCCTTGCTGCTAACAGGACTCCCAGACGCGGCAAAGTCGCGGTAAGTGGAAGCGTACAAAGACCCAGCTGCCAATTCACCGCCATCGGGCTGTTGACTTTCTGGCTCCTGGCTCGATATCAACCCCTCGCCATCACCATTCTCCTCTACCGGGCTATCCTCCTCACTTTGTCGTCGTCGCCCACGACGAGCGGGCCCGCTCAAGAAACTGCCCGCAACCTTACCAACTCTCTTGATACGCATAGAGCTTTGCAGATTTGGATCCTCTCTCGCTCTCACGCTGCCACCAAACCGGGAGACACTACCCTGGTTGACGGCGGCCTGGCCACGAGCTATCGTTTGTGGGTCCTCGGGCACGTCATGATCGCTGGGAGGTATAGAGCCCGAGCGTTTGGAAGAAGGTCCTGATGAGCCTGCTGAGCGCATTTTACTTCCCGAAGACCCAACGGCTATCTGGACCCGACGGACTGCTTGTGCCGGAGTGTTGAGATCCGCCTCTGAATTTGCGACAATGGCAGCTGCACTCTGATTCACAATCTCGTCTTTCTCATCAACCCTGTCGCCGCTTTCCGGACGCTTGCGGGACGTTGAAGCAGAAAGGGATCTTCGTACAGGATTCTGGAGGACGCCGCCACCAGGCGTCGTGCTGAGCCGAACCACTCTTTTCCGTGGCGGTGGGCTACTATCCCGAGTTCGCACAGGCGATGCAGGCCTCGATGACGAGATATGTGCACTGCCTGCCCGTGCATGACGTCTAGTCTCTCTCACGGGCTCCTTGGCAGGCTTCTCCCGCTCGTCGGCCGCCGAGGACGTGCTTCTGGTCAATACGCTGCGCCTTCTAGTCATAACCCTTGACTCGGGCCTCGCGGGTGGCGAGGACGGGCGATGCGCAGTCGACACAGAGTTGATTCCCTCGGACGCCGATGCGGGAGCTCCACCATCGTCCAGGAGGGCCTTTGTAAGTGCGCTGAGCTTCATTGGAACAGGTATCTCATCGTCGGAGCTTTCATTCAGCGTTGAGTACTGTTGTGATTTTGCTCCTGCCCCTTTCGCTTCCTTAGAGCTCGGCACGGGATTTGACTCGCTTCGACTGAGCTGTGGACGGGAAGGCGGGCGCCGTAGGGCCTGGCGCGCTGATGTCCTCCGGCCAAGGGAGGAGATATGGCTGCCGGCCCCTATTGGTGTGGGCGAAGCTGCCGACATAGCTTGTGTTGTTTATTTGTATGTACAATCCTGGTGTTTCCAGCTTGCCTTTCCAGCTTCTAGGTATCCACCACCGGGCAAAGTCCTGGATCTCGAGATCGGAGCTCAGTAGATAATAAATGTTGCTCCAGCACGAGGCAAGTGGCCCAATCTGTGATGTTGTTGTGATCTCTGTAGTCAAATTGAAGGGACGTATTTCGCGTCGACGAGGTCCATGATCAATTCTTTGGTGGTTTGGTAGTGGAAGAAGTAAGGCGTCGCGACATGTGCAATGTTGAAGGGGGTGGATAACACGGAGATCTGCCTTGGCTCCGGGCGTTGGCTGTTATTTTGGTCAGCACCGCGGGCGGGCCAATCAAGCCAATTAAACCGTCACAACCGGTTGCTGCGAGCAACGCGGAACCTCACCAATTAGGTTAGACACTCTCCCAGGTGCAAAGGAAAATTTCCGGCAGATTCATGCAGGCCATTAAATGTAAATGCAACCACTTACATCTCTAAAACGAGCAGACTAATTGAATGTTGGCGATAGCAGGGTGTTGGGGCACTCTACCATTGATGCTGGAGCTGCATTTCTAGGAGAACACTTCATTCACTCATCAGTGACCTCGAGCCTACCTACTTATTTTACTCGTCTGTCTCTCCAGTTGACTTAAAGTTTTACAATGCGACAAATTTCCTCAGATGCCATAGTTGAGATTTATCAGCCTTATTCGCGAACAACCCTTGGTCACATACTCCTTGTATTACATAGATGACAGAAACACTGGCCACAGCATACGTTCGGGGTTGCGCCAATGTGCGATATACCTTTGTTTTAGACACCCGACACGTCCTACGGGTAACGATGTCATACAAGCCATCATACACCGTGGTGCATAGAAAAACGACTGGTCTTCGGTTAGGGAGGCAACGAGATTCTTTTTCTTGTCTCGTCTGTCTAAGTCTTTTGACAGCTTCTCGCAGTCCAATCCTGAGAATTATGCCCTGCCATGCCTATGCCATGCCAAACCAAATCCCCCAAATCCGGGAATGACGTGCCAAGAATAGTCGTAAACCGAGTATAGACCCTTCCCATCGAGCAACGGGTGGTATCGACATATCGATGGCTTAATGAGCCGCTTAGTCGAACAGACCGAAGCCCATGTCCTCGTCGGACTCCTCCTTCTCCTCCTCCTTGGCCTCCTCCTTGGTCTCCTCAGCGGCGGCACCGCCAGCGGCAGCGCCACCAGCAGCAGCAGCACCACCAGCGCCACCGGACGGGACGGAAGCGAGCTTGGAGCTACCCTCGGCGATCAGCTGTTCATCGAGCTTTGTTAGCATCGTCGCATCACACGTTTCCACCAAGCTTTCTATCAGCGTACCTCGTTGATGTCCTTGCCGTCAAGCTCTGACAGAAGCTTCTCCAGGCGGTCATCGTCGGCCTCAATGCCAACGGAGGACAGGACCTTCTTGATGTCGGAGGCGGAGGGGGAGGTGTTGCCGGCGAGGCCAAGCAGAAGGTAAGCGGCGAGGTGCTTCATTGTGAAAGGTGTTTCTGTGTGATGTTAGTGCCAGGTCAAAGTCATTCTTGGGCAGGCGACGCTGTTGCGGCGGTGGTGGATTCGCAGCGACGAAGCGTACAGCTTGCGGGCAAGATGGAAACAAGAAAGAGAGACAGGAGTCAGAACGGGTGCGGAGCGAGCTCACTTTTATGCGATTGAGATGTAAGAACACGAGATGTCAATCAATTTAACCGCGAGTTGGGCGGAGACTGAGTCTTCGAGTCCTAAAGTCTTTTTTGGTGGTGGTGGAGAGGAAGGAAAAAAGGTAGTCGATTGCTCGGTGTGACACCTCGATGAGTTTGCCAAAAATTAATTCGATTTGGTGGGCTTAGGGTCTGTTGGTGGTGGGGTGGGGAAGGAGGCTGGCAGCCAGCTGGCAGGCGAGTGGCATCATCAAGCATGACCATCCCTCCATTCAGCCTCCCCCACTTTACGGAACCGGACAATCGAGCATGCCGGCACCGTCTCCCGGCTGTCACTGTCCAATGAGGCCAGGCCCGTCCGTCATCTCTTGGAGGCATGGCGCCCCAAAGAATCTAGAATAAAATGGCAATAGTCCATCACACGAGCGACTTCTACTGCTTTCTTCTTTGTACATAAACGAACCTCGCCATTTTCTCCGTTGCAGCATGCTCTAGAGTACAACTCCATCACTGCATACGCTTAAGAGCAACGCCGACCGCTTTTCAGCATTTTTGTGTCGACTATCGCCCGCCGCTCGGCCGTCCAGCGCATCGGTCTTGTGAACCGCCTAAACAGGCTCTCGTGGCGGGTTCTCTTTGTTCACCAGATGACTCAACCCCAACCATATATATGACGGCATAGAAGGCACCCACCCATTTGAGCGCTCGGTCTGACGGCGTAGCTGTCTCATTATCGCCATGCCGGTGCGTTAGATTATCTACTTGACTTGTCCTCTTATCCGAGTTGAAGATTAGCTGCTGGAGGGGGTATGGGCTAACATGACAGCAGATTAGTGACTTGCTCGCATCGATCACGGGCGAGAAGCCCAAACCGTCGACCGCTTCCACCACGCCGACGAGCACGAAAATCACCCTCGGGTCCGTGAAGCGGAAGGCCGACGATGATCTCAGCGGCGCTGCGCAGAAGGCCCAACGGACGACTCCACTTGCAAACGGATCAGCCAAATCAGGCGATGTTGCTTCGGCATCGCCACGTCCGGTTGATCGGCAGTTGTATACTGGAAGTGCTTCCCTAAAGGGTCCGAATACACAGGCAAACCCTACCAAGTCCTCTTCATCTCTACTGGCCAGAAAACCGATGAACACCCCGTCTAAGCCATCGCCTACGAGTGCGTCCTTTGGAAATGGCTCGAGATCCAGTGCGTTGAGGAGCCCTACGGTGGCACGCACGAACTCTACGGCACCTGCGAAGTCGAGCCCTGGAGAAGGATCGTCCTCCAAGTCACAGCCAAAGAAAGGATCTTATGCCGAGATCATGGCTCGCGCCAAAGCGGCCCAAGCAACGATGGGAGCGGTCGGTAAAATACAACACAAGGCCTTAGACAAGGTCCCTACGAAGCGTGAGCGCGAGGAACTGAAAGCCGAGCAAACGAAAGGTTTAAGGAGAGGTGCGAAGCCACAAAACACAAAACCTGGACATGCTCGGCTAGGCGCCAACGGCTCGGGAGCGTCGCGTGATGGAGATCTTGACCGCCCGAGAGGTGGGACTAGCTCTATGACTCGTAGAAAGGATGGTGGGAAGTCTTTGAATGGAAAGACGGCCAAGTCCGTGGAGGAAGACAAAAAGCTGAAGAAGGCTGCCACGGCAACAACTGGATATACCGGAACTGCTCGCCCGCCTCCGGGTGCTTCCAGAGCTGGATCATCATCCAAGCCAACTGCCCCTAACGGATCCCGAGATCGCCACCATGAGTCTCGACCTTATGGGGCTTTCAGCGCTCGTCGTAATCGGGACGATGACTACGATGAGGAATTGGACGACTTCATTGAGTATGATGACGATGAGCCTGAGTACGGTGGAGACCGCCGACGCGGCTACGGAGATTACTCTGACGAGGATGACGAGTCGGATATGGAGGCCGGCTTGTCCGATATTGATGTTGAAGAGCGCAGGGCTGAGATCTATGCAAGGCAGGAAGATCGCCGAGAAGAAGCATTAGAAAGGAAACTCAAGCTCGAAAAGGAAGAGCGCAAGAGAAGGCTTTTGGAGGGACGATAGAAGCTTTGTTTGTTTGTTTCATTCTCACTTTCGCAGTTGTCAGCGTCATCATGCATGCTTCGTATCACATATGGCTCTGGCCGAGGAGTCGAGATGTTACGGTTTTGGCGTTTTGTAGATACATAATGATGGACCAGTCCATGTGGCAGAGGTCTAGAATAGCATTAGCGGTAGGCGTTTGGACGGTTTTCACCATTGGCAGCCGATAACAACTATCGTTTCCACATTGTATTTCTCATGATCTTTGTAATTAAGTGAGAAATTAAGACTACTTGCATTCTTTGAGCTATGGGGTAGATTACTGTCGGGATAAGTATTCTATTGCTCGCACAGAGTGTATCCACACAAAATCTACCAGATGTTGGCAATGGACACTTGACTCGATAGATGAAGCTAGTCCAACAACATGGTGGGTTTCTCTCACGCAGAAGCGGATGTTTTGTATATGAGCACAGATTGACGGCATCGCATGTTTCATGTGAAACTCTCACATCAACACCTTGGTCTACGAGAAAGACTTAAATACGAATGTATTAAAAAGATATAGTAACGGTCTTCGTATCTCGGCTCCGTTTCACTGAACCATCTCGAGTAAAGTTGACTGACACTGTCAGAGTAGGATGACGGAGTAATCTCCGCACTTATGAGGGAGATGGCAGCTAATGGCAAACCATGGATGCCGAGGATGAGTCTCGGTCTGGAGTCAAAACGGGGAACCGATCTCGAAAGCAGATAACGCCCAACCCCACTAACGTGTAATAAGAAAAATGTTGTCGGTATAGGGGACTGGCACAGTACACCATTTCTCATTTATCGGTGTTGATTGAACGAGACGAAGCTTACGTCTTATTACATGCGTGACGTCGTCGTCGCCCGGGATGATGTTGATGGCGGCGACTGGATCTATAGAACTTGTGCTCTGGTTCAGATCGTGAAGGTGATCGGTCCTACGAATCACCAGACTTTACACCAGTATTGCCGAAGCCACTTAGATTCCATCCCTGATAGCGAACAGTACTGGTGCCAGACAAGACGCTCGGCGGCGGCTGTGCGGGAAGGCCAACTGGCGGAGGTGGAAGAAACGACTTTGGAGTTGAGCTAGGCTGAGCGCCCTCGCCGTTGGTCAGCTGAGCACTCAGCACAGTAGCCTCGGAAGCTGTCTTATCCTCCCGCATCAAGCCCTTTTCTTTGAGATATTGAAGAGTCTTGATGATGGTCAGGTCCTCCTGATCCTTGTCATTGAGAATAAGACGCTGTTGTAGAGTCATCCTGCCTCCATTCAACTCTCGCTCCTTCAATGCGGCTTCACGAACAGCCGGATCGTGAACGAAGCGGCACTTGCCCTTCTTGCCACATGTACCTCCCGTAGAATAGTACTTGCAATGCTTCGTAGGATCGGCCTTCTTTGGGGGCGGAGGAAGATACGCAGGCTGCTCCTGCTTTGTCGACAGTGCCTCTGGCTTTTCATCATCGGACTTGGATGACGAAGAAACAGATGAGCTGATTGTGACGTCTCGCATCTCGTCGCCAGCATCTTGCTGCTCACGCTTCCTCTTGAGGCTGGACTCGACTTTCTCTAGCTGTTTCCTGAGTTTGTCGGCCTTCTGTTGCTGCTTCTCGTATGCCGAGAGCGAAACACCTCTGGGATCGGCGTCTTCTTCTTTGATCCCATTACTACTCTGGACACTCTCGGCGGCTAACTTAGCCTTTACACGCGCTTGTGTTGGGAAGTTCCGCCGACGCTCGGCAATCCACGCAGAAATGTCCTGTGGTCTTGGGAAGTCAGTCAATATGCAAAAGCCACCCTCGATATCTAAACTTACTGCGGAGCGTCAGCGCCTATCATCTCAGTCAACTTGGCTTCCTCATCAACATCGTCTTCATCAGAATCATCCCCTGGCGTCAGACCTAGTGTATTCGTTTTGCGTTTCTTCTTTTTGCCCGCCGACGCTGCATCAGGCTTCTGATGGTGCGTGTTGGGAGTTGAAGGCGGGCCGCCTGGTTTCCTGTTATGTTGGTGACGCATCTTATCACCCCCAAATTGAGGACGATTCCTGGGATTATTGTTATGGAAGCCACCCCTGCCATGAGGACGGTTATTGTTCTGATTAAAGTGACTGTCGTACTGGGGAGGCCCAGACATCGGAGACGGGCCTGACTGCGGGTATCCTTGATAAGGTGCTGGCGGGTAGGGGCCCGGCCCCTGGGGAGCACCGTAGGGTTGCGAAGGATAGCCATTGCTCACTGGAGCGGCGTGGTCGTGATGAGCGCCATTATCAAACCCCATGCGTATCGGCGGCCCCATCACCTGCGCCTTTGATGGGCCCCGATCGCTATGGTGGCCACCCCGACCGCGCCCACCGCCGAACTGAGGCGGGCTCTGGTGATGAGGGTGGTGCTGCTGCTGCTGCGGTGGTGGCGGGCTAGGGCCTGAACCACCCCACTGCTGAGCAGGTGGTCCATTGGGCTGATGTTGTGGAGGATACGGCTGTGCATACGGCTGCGGAGGCGGTACATAGGCGGGCGCCTGCTGGGCGTACGCAGGTTGTTGATAGATGTGCTGAGCGTAGTTTGGATGATAGTTCTGTGGTTGAAGGCTCGACTGCGGAGGGGCTTGTTGCTGGGGATGGCCGTGGCCCTGGTCTGGCCATTGTTGCGGCGGGTAGCCTCCAGGTTGGGGTTGGGGATGTTGGGTCGGATAGGGCCCGGGATTCTGAGGTCCATACGGCTGAGGTGGCTGCTGGGGATTGTATCCGTAGGGTCCAGGCGGTGCGTGGTATTCTGGCCGGCCACCATTTGGGTGATGCCCGCCTCCTCTGCTAGATCTAGGGGGATGGCCACCGCGAGGTGCCTGCTGTTGGTATGGGAGATACTGTGAATAGCCAGCCGGAGGATTGGCAGAGGCTGCAGCTGCCGGAGGAGGCGGAGGAGGACCGTAGCCGTAGGATGCCATGATGGTGGTGATGTTCTGATGAACGAGAGCACAGAACACAGCAGAAATGAAAAAAGAGCTCGTGCGGCAACAGAGATCTCCCACTGCCACTGTTTCCACGACTACACCACCTCACTCCCAGCCTCGGAGACGCAAGATAGTGTAAAGCAGTGTGGTGTGGTGTAGTGTATATGTGATCAGCTAAAGGCTGATGTTGTTGCTGGGACTGCCCGGCGTTTTGGTGGGAGATGTGGGATAGATGATTTGAGAGAAGGCTGGGCGATGGCTCTTCAGAGACAGAGTGCAAGGCCTTCGACGAGGTGAAGAAGGGGCGGACGGGGTTGGATGGGCTGTTGAAACAACAACACGCGTGTGTAACTGACTGACTGAACCGGCGGCAGGAAAAAGGCACGGTCCGATGGTCAAAGTAAAAGAGGTGAGTAGAACAACTAGTTCGGGCTCGGGTTCGGCTGTAACGCAGTCAATGATCAATGAATCAAAAACGACGGGACCCTCTCGGCCGGTTTCCGGTGGATTGCAAGTCAACAGGAAAGAAGTCGCGCGATATGGACAGTGGCTGGATAGGTGATGGCTGGTTGATGGTCGTGGTGGTGAAGAAGGTGAAGAAGAAGAAGATGATGATCATGGACGGACGCTGGGAAAAGGACTGCTTAACAGCTTGGGCTTAATAGTTGGTGGCGCTTTTCGGTCTTGCCTTATCCGTCTGAGAAGCTGCTTCCTGGTGGTGGGCGGTGAGAGATGAACACCCAGGGTCTGCAGCTCTCCCAGAAGTTAGTGCTGGCAGAAAATTGGCAGGGGTGGGGCCCTTTTTGATTGAGCCAGTCACTCACTCGACTTTCAGAAGATTGAAGAATCACTGCCTACCTTGCATCCTTTATGGAACTATCCTGCGATATATCTCTCATGACAGCAAGTTTGCTTGTCATCTGCTTGCCTGCCTACATTGACTTAAATCACACTCTGTACTAAGCCTCGTCAAGGAAGAAGAAAAAAAAACCCCCCAAACTAAGAGAACGTTTGTGCTGAGCTCCTTTAACAATACCTAGCTGAAGCTACGGTGGCTGATCTTCCAGGCTATTTGGTCTGATCTTGATCAAACATGTTCATTCTGGTTTGTCCTTTCGATCATGTTCATCAATCATATTCTTGTTGTTGTTATTGTTGTTGATGATGCTGATGTGATCTCCCTCTCCCTCAAGACCAAGATTGCGGACCTGGTCCAGATCCGTCCCCAGGATTTCAACAAGACCAGCATCCACGCCATTGAGGACAACATCAATGCCAAATATGCAAACAAGGTTCGCAGTCCTACAGTAACCGCATCGGTTCATTAGCTAGCCTTTTCCTACGCCAAATGTATGTACTGACTGTCCACGATAGGTGATTCAGAAGATTGGTCTCTGCGTATGTCTCTACGATCTGCTCTGGGCATCCGAAGGCCTGATCGGCCATGGAACCGGGCTGGTCAACGTAAATGGTGTGCGACGGAGAAGTCTCATTGTCTACTGAATAAGTCCCATGATCTAACGCTAGACTTTCACAGTCGAGTTCCGCCTCATCGTCTTCCGGCCCTTCAAAGGGGAGGTCATGCTAGGCAGGATTAGCAGCTGCTCCCCCGACGGCATCCATAGTACGATCATCGCCAACGCATTGCTGGTCTCAAAACTAATCCAAGGGCTTTTAGTTCGGACCGATTTCTTCGACGACATCTTCGTCGAGCGTGAGGAGCTCCCAGAAGGCTGCGTCTAGTAAGACTGCCCCCTGCTCTCCCCGCGAACCTCTTCACGTCGCATCTCTGACTCTTCGCAGTGACCATGGCGAGCAGTTGTGGCTATGGAGTCTCGAGGAACAAAATATGTACTGGGATAGCCACGAGATGGTCCGTTTTACCGTCATTAGTGAGGAGTGGCACGATCAGACACCAACCAAACCGGTAGAGTACGGAGAGGAACCCGAGGAGCGCAAGCTGGCCCCTTACAAAATCAAGGGAAGCATGAAGGCGCCAGGTCTCGGATGCTGTATATGGTGGGACGATGCATGAAGGATATCCTAGGACTAAGAACCAGACGCCCATCTAACGTGCCGCCCGGAAACCTACGAGACGCAGGTTTACCACTTCATCTATATCTTGATACCCTGAAGCAGGCGACCCTCCACATCATCCAGCACGGAGTAGTGCTCGATCACCGCGATGTTTTCGGCCTCTCCAATGAACTGTTTGTCAGGATCCACACCAGGTCCAAACATCTGAGGGGCCTGAGGGCCCATCTGGCCCATCTGTTGGGCCATTTGGCTTGCAGCTGGCTCCAGTCAGCAATGAGAATATGCTAGCTTAGCAGAATACATACCATTGTCGCTTCCTAGAAGGAAGTTGAAGACAGGTTGTAGGCCAAAAATACACAAGAAATACCAACTGATGCTTGACATCCACCGCGGATCCATGTCTTTCGTAGCAACCCCAGCCTGGAGCATGCTCTTGAACTTGATGGTCAGCGGGAAGGGGAGTTTCACTACCACAGTGTTAGCGTAAAGCCGCAGCCAAAACGTCCCATGCCGGACTCACTAATGACATAACCACTGAAAAATGCGTTGATCCAGCTCATGATCAGGGTATTCGGAATGATCATCGCCATTTGATTCTTCATCATGCCCATCATGCCTTCCATAGCGTTCGGGTCGGTCATGGGATTCGGCGGGGCTTGGCCGCGGTTTTCAGGCGCCTTGAGATATGCGCCCGATTCGTAGGCGGTAATCAGAGCATCCCTCCGAGTGTTGAATGATTTCTTGGACAGCGCGTGAAAGTTGCTTCGCACACTGATGCCGTGTACGAGCGATCTCTGCTCCCGCGTCGCTTTCTGGTCGACCTTCTTTGGGGCGGTAGCTAGCATTACCGAGGCATAGTGTCGAAGAATACCTGTCAGGATCTAGCACAATTTTGAGTAAGCAGACTTCTCTCGATAGCTTCAATGCTTTGACAACTCACCATGACAATTGTAATGGGAAAGAGGATCCAGTAGCTTCAAAGAGGTCAGCCTAAGTCGCGCAACAAGTCGCTCAGAAGACTACTTACAACAACTGGGGATCCCGATGGATCGTCTGAACTGGAATTTGGGCCATTTTCAACCGCTAACCTGCTCTTCACACCTTGTGATGCTGGTTCAATTGAATGACTTGAAGTCGCGAAGTTGGAGGTTGTGTGGGTGGCAGATAGTTGGAAGCTATGATCTCCTGTAGTCGGGGTCGCCTGCGGCACGGGCCACAGTAATTCCCAGTTCCGAAAGACCACCGTTGCAGATGAGCTCTCTATCTAGCTCCACCATCAGCTTCAATAAAGCCGTATCCATCCCACATCCAATTCACTTGAGTTAGAGCTCTACACATATACACGCAATACACTTGTGCCAATATGGCTGTATCTCAAGAAAAGATAGCTGTCTACAACCTTGCAGGTAAGAATTCTCACAAATCCCGCGGCTGCGCAATATGACAGAAATGCAGTGATGATCGTCGCAGTATGCTCACAAGACTACAGACCTCAAGAACACTTCTGACGATGCAATTCCGAACTATCTGAACTCTTTGAAGTTTAAGCAGTCACATGGCCTCACCGATGTGAGGTTAGCACTTGGATACAGCGCCTTCCTAGTCGCTGCCGCCTGCTTCCTCTGGGACTATAAGTTTGGATTCGAGAGCACCAAGTACTACACTGCGGCTGCGGTAGTGCTATACTCCATTCTGAATGGCGCTCTGACGCTCTGGATCTGGGGCAAAGAGAAGGGAACTGTTTATGTTGGAACAGCACCGTCTGGAGAGAGGGTAAGTGCAGCGTCCGGCCCTAAACCAGACCAGATCTGGTGTTTCATTGACTGGTCGCTTATCCACCAACTTCAGATCTCCATTGCGACAACGACCAAGAAGAACGTCCCGATTTACAATCTCGCTATCACCATTACTCCAAAATCCACATCCGCCAAACCACAAACCTTAAATATTGCTCGTTCCTTCACCGAGTGGTTCGACGCGGCTGGTCATTTTGTTGCTGCGCCATTCCAGAATATGCTTGCTTCCTCCGTACCTGCGATTGCGAGCTCGGATTCCAAGAGATTGCAGTCGCTAAAGTCGTCTGACATCAAGCAAGGGACAACATACAGTACGGAGATGCTAGATGCTGTGCTCGCCGCAAACGCTGGAGCGGAGTCATCGGGGACACCAAAGAAAGGAGGCAAGCGTCGCAAGGCTTAGCCACATATTATGAATGCACAAGATCGGAGACTATACAGGCATGAAGTGTTTACTGGTATTTGTAGCTCTGATCGAGCCAGCAAGAACCGATCACAGCAACATCTTAAGGAGTTAGATATGTTCGAGAAATGCCCCAATGCTGAGCGAGATACCCAACTACAGCCCTGGGCTTTCTTGCAAGTCCGTAATCGTTTCCAAGGCCTGTGTTTATTCTTCAGCCTGTTTCCGCTAACCTTAGGAATAACCCCGTTCGGAATGGGGAGGGCCATTCTTCCTCGGCTCGCCTATGCCTCCTCCCGCTCCTTGAATCCAGGTTCATTTCTCGAACGGAGCCTCGGCTCCCCTCAACTGACATGCGCCCCCAGGGAAATTCGTCTACGATTTGACGGACATGTGCATGCCCAAACGTTGGGGAGATAGATCCTGGCGTTTGTGACCTGCGGAATAAGGCGGCCTCCTCGGTGTAGTGTCTAGCTGAGGAGGTACGGAAAGCTTTTGCAAGAGCAGAGCAGATTTGCAATATCATAGGTCAGACAACGCTGTCCCAAGCCTTCCTTGCCGCTTGCACGTCGGGCCGAATATAACGAACTGAATCACCGGAGGCGATCTTCAGGCCGCGCCTAAGATTAGCAGCGTAGGGGAGGAGAAGGCCTGTATCGAATTTCTGAGGGAGCAGTTCTAATATCTTCATCGCCCCCTTTCGACACTTTGAGGGGCTTCCTGTTCGAAGGAAGCGTGCGGGGATTTGCGGCTGTCCTTGCGCTATTGTTTGTGAGTTTGTTGATGTGGTATATAGGCCATATGCACCGTCTACTATGGTCTTGATATGCCCTTTCAAGATCTCAGGGTTTTGATCCAAGACGGCGAGTAAAATAAGACATGTAGCTTCCAGGTCATACTGGTTTTTTAAGCTAGAAAGACCTGCAATCGCGATTCGTGCAATATCTTCTGCATCAGCTGAGTAGATGTCAAAGACAAGGTGTTTCACAATCGAGAGAACTGTAATGCTATACGTTGTGCTGGTATCGCTGGCGGGCTGAAATGGGTAAGCCAGCCTTAGGATAGGTTGAACAATAGAGTGATAGACCCATTGCCGATATGTTGGTTTGATGACGGCATGGGTCTCTCGAGAGAGAAAGTCTTTATTGCTAACAAGCACTTCCATGATGCGACCAAGTTCTGCTTTGCAATTTGCGCTCTCGACGGGCGCATGTGCTATGGCGCTGCTTAAACTGCCAATAGAAGGGTCTCGTCGAGCAACTGCCCCTGCTACTACGAACAATGCTCTGGAAAATACCTCCGGTAAACAGTCTTTGATGTGTGTCGGTTCCAACATCGTCGTGAGGGAGGTGATGACCTCGGCCCAGCTAACATTCTCGCCGTCTGAATCTTTATTATGATACTTATTGGCTATGACACACGCCATGCCATCGCGCACAATTTGAGATCGATCGTGGAGACATCGAATGCTTTCCGGATCTCCTAGAATATTCGATAATGCGCCTCCAGGCTTTAATGAACACCATTCGGTTAGACCATAGGCTCATATTGAAATGTTGCAAATCACTTACAAGCTTGCTGACGACGGCAGGTTGTAACGCCCTCAATACACCCATTGATAGAACATTAGCTCGTCCTTGATCGGCATCACTCCATGACTGCTGTACGCCTTCTGTTCGGAACAACTTGAATACGTCGTCTTGTAGCCCTAAACTCTCCTGTTGGGGTCCGCTGAGATCTTTGATGAGGAATGTTGCCATTCCTCCAAGTTGGTACAGATAAGCGTCTTCAGCGTCCAACTCGCTAGCATGCTTAGAGGCGAAATCGCCGCTTAGACCCAAAGTAGAAACACCTGTATCTTGAATATTGACCAGCCTCGTTGATCGGCGATACAACTGCGAACAAATGTAAAGGCTAAGTTTCAAGTAATCTTGACGAGCGTTGCGTGACTTATGTCCAAATTGTATTGACGAGTTTATATCATCAGCCTCAAAGCTAGTCTCGGCATCTTCGTCAATTCGTGGGAATCCTGGCAACGCCGCGATAACTTCCTGATTCAGGGTTTCCTTCGTCAAAGTGGTCATATCAGCAGCTTTGTTGTCAACGGAATTTTTAGAACAAGCATCTTTAAAGTTCAGCATTGCGGCGAGAATGCCCTGAAGCGCGATGATCGTTATCTCAAATCCAACTCTGCTCCGGAACCATATTTGGAGTGTCTGCAACCATGCACCAGTCAGGCAAACAAAGTTGAGAAGGGGAGCCGGACCAGATGGAATCTCTGAGCAGCCAACAAAGGCTAATCGCCTACTGAGCTCCGTGAGGGCCTTGATTGAGCGCTGCGAAGGGGTTCCACGCCAGTCACGGCTCCTAATCGTCTTCATAGATTGAGTGACGATAACCCCGAAACCGCTTGGGTATGCCGTTACTGCTTTCTGTAAAGCAAGTACTGTCTCTCTCTCCAGGTCCACAGTTGCATTAGTGTCACTCGCAGAACTCAGCAGGAGACTATTGACAATACGGTGCGACAGAGTCATGCAGATTTCGCGACATCTCGCGTCGTCATATGCTCTCTGAACACTCCCGTCAGCAGAGACGGCATGCTGTCCAATGAGCAGGGCTAAACCATTGATGACCTCCCGTAAGACTGTCACTTGATCTGTTGTAGGCTGTTCAACCGTATTTTCTCTCCACAAGCGCACATAAATATCATCCAAGATATTTTCTGGAACCTGAAATCCGGGACTAGTTGCGAAAGACGCCTCCGAGGAGCCCATATTGACTATTATAGCCTGCCGCGCCTTTAGGACTGTGTTGAGAAGACCAAGTAGATCTCTGGTATGCTGTGGTGACTTCGGTTGTCGAATATTATTTCGAAGCGAGTCGATTAATCTAGGCGTGGTAAGAGTGAAGGCTCGAATATCAGAGGCAAGCACCGCACTTGCAAGCTGGCCAGCGTTTTTGGTGTAGGTCGGATTAGCGAAATCATCGATACAGTCTCCCAGTACCACGTTAACGAAACCCTGAAGCTCTTCGAATTGGGTATCTTGATGGGGGAGCTTGGCAAATTTTCTGCTAATGGCAGACATGACATCTAATGTTGCTTGGATGGTTGCCTGGATCTCGCCGTTGCGAACCTCATACTTCAGGGAATTCCAGATTTTGTCAACAAAAGGGACAATTCCCTTCTGAGCGTGCGAATATTGTTCTACGCAAGCTTTGATTGTGCTCAATATGTCAAGCTGGTATTGGTCAGCATGTGTGCAATCCAAAAAGGAAGACAGGGTAACATACCTTGACGCCAACTGTGACGCTGTCTCCCTGGTCGAGCTTCTGGATCAGGAACGGGAAAGACAGATCGGCGAGTCTATAGTCGGCCGCGAAGCATTCTCTGACTGCCAACTTGAGCTGTTCCGTCGTGATAGCCGCAGGGGTTGCCGAACTGCGAATTGAGATGGGGAAGTAGGAGGAAAAGGACTTGAAGACTTCCTGGAGCACCTCATGTGACATGGAGTAGTGTCTGAGAAGCGACTTTAGAATAGCAAACCATTCAAGGAGATTCTTTGGATCCCTCTCATGCTGACACATCTTCAAGAGATCCAGGACGAAGCCAGAAGCCGATCCATGGATGTGTTGAAGCTCGCCTCGAGTGATAGGGTCCTGGATTAAGCCATGAAGAAGCTCGTAGACTTCGAACCTTGTTGACGGGGGCTGCAGCCGGAAGTCGTCGCCCATTTTGACGATGTTTCCAACAACCGTATCAGCAAGCTGAGGCTTGAACGCGTTCATGCTGATCAAATATCGCAAAGCTTTGGTCGCAGCCAGGATGCCAGCCTTGTGGTCCGCATCAAACATGACGCTGAAAAAATGAACAAGGAGTTGCACTGTCGACACACGCATCAATATGAAGCTCCTAAATCGCATGGGGAGGGAAGTTGTTTGAAATACTTGACCTACCTTGAGTTCCATTCAGGACGCCCTTTGGCAGCGCCTCGAGTGTCGCAGCCAAAAAGCCAAGAGCTGCCAGTAACAGTCAGTTTGAGGGTAGAAAGAGCTGTGGCGGCCGTGCGACTGAAATACCTTTCGCTCGAAGGATGACATCTGCGCTTCCGGCTTCCTCCCCATCATCGATGTCGGGGACGGTGCTAGATCCGGGATACCAGTCGTTGACGGACTGAACCCAATTCGCTGTGACTCCCCTGGTACTTGCTGGGTCCTTGGCTGCGTTCTGGATAGCTGTAGTACGGTCAGTTGAACTCCGTGCCAGGCTCCTTGTCTCAAGCATATGCATGCGATTAAGGTGTCTGACAACAATGTCACAGGATCGACCCACCAACTGCAGCCTGAAGAGAGGCCTGCTCCATTACGGACTCATCGTCGGACAACACATATTGTGCTGCCAAGTCCTTGAAGTCCACCATGCTGCATGTGATGCCAGTCTGGGTGCATTCATGAGATAGCTTCCATGCGGAGCTGAACTAATCTGGTCTATCAGGAAATTTGGCCTTATGACGAGAACGATGAGAATTCAGCGGCAGCAGTAGCACAGCATTGGGCAAACGGTGCAACTGGTCGATCTCGGCGGGCGTGCGATCAAAGTGATTGCAGACTGAAGGGGGTAGGTAGGTAGGCACTCCAAGCAAGGTAAGTGTCAGGTTGGTAGGTCTGGATTAGCGATTACCTCACTTCTGGTTGGAGGGGCCGGAGAGAATCGGCAGTAATGAAAATGTTCTGGCCCAAAAGCGCAGGCGGTGAGATTGACGGGTGACGAGATGGCCACCACGGCGATGCACCTGGCCCAGGACTAAGCTTCTTGCAGTAAGAGGGGCATCCCTTTACTGTGTATAGCTAGCTAGCCAGGGGTCCACCACATTTTCCCGTCCTTTTTTTTTTTTTGCCTCCCCTCCCCCACGATGGAATCTTGCCTGTATCGGAGGGCCAATTCTGCGCATACATTATATTATAGCACGGGCCTGCTTGACACTCTCCCAAGCCATCGAACTGAGTCTTGCATGCGGCTGGAACCCATTGGCTTATAGCAAAGTTGTCTTTTTGTTCTGTCCATGATCTCTTTCGTACCAGGTACTCTGGCTGTCAGGACCTTGGCCTCTAGAGCCTGACTAGCTGTTTCTGGATCTCTCTTGGTCTGTGAAGATTGCAGTCTGTTCTCATCCAACGGTTGGGTGCCCTGTAAAATTGTACATCCATAAAATACCTAGGTATAAGTACCACATTCTTGGTGGGGCAAGGTTAGTTGTCTATTCACAAACACTTCAGGGTGCCCTCCCAGCTCTGCCTTCTAACAAATTGACAGGACAGGAGGACGTGATACAGAGAGTCTCACCTCTTCGTTGCCACCATAAGCATCCAGACTCTGTTGTCATTTGAGGCACTCACCCTAAGCCAACCATGGCGGATGTGCCCAAGACATGCAAGGTCATCCTTGCCGACACCATCGCCAAAAAACTGCTCTCAGAGGTCCAGGAGACCCTGCAGAAGATATCCAACGGCGACTCTCGCCCGACTTTGGTCGCATTCCTTGCCAATGATGACCCGGCGGCGATGAAGTATGCAGAGTGGTCAAAGAAGACGTGCGAGGAAAAGTAAGCCTTTCCTAGACTTCCTCCTCTCAAAATCCCTGCCGTGACGATGATGATGGGACTCCATGCCATCCTTATCTCATCTATTCAACCCTGCTGTGGCACGGACTTGCTGACCTGGGCTCCAGTGGGTTTGCTTTTGATTTAAGAAAGGTTGACAAAGAGGTCTTGGAAGAAGAGATCATGGCGGCCAATGAGGACGACAAGGTGGACGGCATCATCGTCTACTATCCCATCTTCCCCAACAACGCAACCCACGACAAGTACATTCAAGAAACTGTCTCCCTATCCAAGGATGTGGAGGGTCTCTGCCACAAGCATCTCTACAACATGTACCACAATGTTCGTTTCCTCGATCCACCGGACAATCGGAAGAAGTCCCTACTGCCGTGTACTCCTCTAGCTGTCGTCAAGATCCTGGAGCATCTCCAGATCTACAACCCAATCTTGGCATACGGAAATAGACTCTACGGCAAGACAATCACGGTCATCAACAGGTCCGAAGTCAATGGTCGTCCTCTGGCCGCACTCCTGGCAAATGACGGCGCCACCGTCTACTCGGTTGACATCAACGGAGTGCAATTGTTCACCCGAGGAACTGGCATCAAATCTCCTCGTCATAAGGTCCTGGACAAGGAGGGCTGGGGCCTCAAGGACTGCCTTCCCCTCAGCGACGTGGTCATCGGTGGTGTCCCAGCAGAGAGCTACAAGGTGCCAACCGACCTCATTCGAGATGGCGCCGTGTGTATCAACTTTTCATCATTCAGGAATTTTGATGGCCCAGCCGTGAAAGAGAAAGCATCCATCTATGTCCCTTCCGTTGGCAAGGTCACAATCGCTGTTCTTCTTCGGAACCTGGTGGTACGTATTCACTTTGACTTCTCTGCCCGGACAGGACATATCTTTCGTGGATACATGTCCTCTGAGTCCTAGCAATATACTTGGCCGCTCATTTGTCGTTGCCTTCTTTACACTAGCTGACTTATCGCCATAGCGCCTCATCGCAAATCGCCCTTCAGATGCCAGCCATGTCCAGGCCCGCAGTGAAGCCTTCGCAGATGACTAGGTGCCACCTGAGGAGTTCTTCCCTGCGTCTTCTGAGGACATGCCCGAGGGCTGGTATGCAGAGGATGATCGCTTCCCTGGATCGAGGCGGCTGACAGTGACAAGTCCAAGAGCAGTTCCGCCATTGCCTCCCAAGTCGTCTCTGCGTCATTCGTCGAACGTCATTGACTACATAGAAGATACAGAGCCGCGGTGGCAGTAGCACGTGGACTTAGTCGCCTGCTCTGAGATATCAAGTCATATTTTCACTACTGTTTAATATAGGATACCTGGATGCATGGGAACGGCTGGTAGGAAAAGTTCTGGAAAAGACTTCAGGGTTTGTTCTTTTCGTGTATTTTCAGGAGCCGCGCGAAGACATCCATTCTCGCCAGACCGTTTAACAACACTGGCTGATCTAGGTTAAGATGAATCCTCTTTTGTGGTCACGTCTAAGAGGTCCCTCTTGAATGGCATGCAGTCATTACGGGATATGACAACCTCCGAGCCTGGTGAATTTTATCACGGCTGTCTGCAATGCACGTTTGATGCCATCTTCCCTCCTCGCCTTTATCAGTCGTTCAATTAGGGCCTTTCAGGGTCACACAGATATTGTCTTTGGAACCTTTCAGCTTGTACTACTACGAGAGATATGCCGAGGGTTTTTTGTTTTTTTTGTTATTTGCTGTCCATGGATCATTTGGATGAATTCCAACCCCGTTGCCAACGACCACATTTTGCCGGGGTAAGGCTTCCTAGAAGTCAACACGACGACTTTGATCATCAGGAACGATTTCAGCTTCCAACTTCACCTAGAGTAACAATGCATAGATGGAATTGTGTGCTCTGTTATTGTATGTACGGTGCACTTGGTTTAGAATTTGGCCGCGAGGTCCAGAATTCTGGAGACATTGCGAGGATAGCAGTTGACGGCACCACGCTACGTTTCCCGGCTATTTTCCTGAGCTCTCCGACATTCATGTTCTGCAAACCCCCTAGGCTTCTCCGCACAACCGGACGTATCAGCCTGTGTGAGAGGCTTCTTTATTGGTCGTCGGAAAAACTCGTGTTGTACGAGCAAATCCATGAAGAACGATTTTTTATTGTCCGTGACGAGTGAAGGGGAATGCCTCGTCCGACTAAACGCCATCAATCTAAGTTGACCGCCCCATCTCTTCTGCGAGAAGGATGGGCATTGCGTGACTGGTCTCCTGCCCTGTGTGCTCTCCTAGGGATCGAAGATATACTACATCCTACATGCGGCTGTCAATGCGACCAAGATGCTCGATTCTCTAGTCGAACGGCGTGAAGCCATCATAGAGGCTTTGACTGCATCGAAAAGCAAGAGAGTAATCCCCGACCTACTAGCCTGGATAGGAGAAGTACAGCAACTGGCTTGAGAGTAAGTAAGGAAATCTCCGAGGAGCTGCACTTGCAAGTCCAGTCTGCCGGACGAGCTTTTACCCAACTGGACATTGGATGTTGCCGAGGCAAGGCATGACAATAAAGATTTCCTGGCCCGCAAACTTCCAGGCCTTGACGCCATCGCGATTTCTGCAAGGAACCGCCGTTTATTCTTTGACGGGCCCAGATGCCGAGCTAAATATATTACCCCATATTAGAGCTCAGTCAAAACCCGATCTACTTGCATCCAAATTACAGGAACAGGCTGGCCAGCAGTGGCCCCGGCTCGCACTCCATGTTTTTTTTTTATTTTTAATCTGTGCACCTGGTTTATTGATCAAGTTGTGATATGGACTGGAGAGTGCAACAAGCGAGCCAAGCCGCAAGGTCGGGGTGCAAGCCGAAGTTTGCTGTTGGTACCCGTGAAGTGTCTCATACATACCGTAGATCCACCGTGTTTATCCTTTCCACCGCCATATTCATAAGCCGTAGTGGCTTCTGTTCCATTCTCAAGTCTTATGACTTTTCCATCTCGTTTCATACTCCTTTGTGGATCCAAGTCAAGACTTTGTTCTCTGGAGTAACAAAGCACAGTCGCCGTTATACTTGCGTGAGCTGCAGTGATCTTCCTGACATTAGGAGAACGGCTTGCTCGTGGTGCTCAGCTATAAACTGTTGAGACATTAGGAGGATCAGGGTTCTCGGAGCACTAATGGAATAATTAGGACAAGAGTTGCGCAGTACGAAGTGTGTTGGTAGTGCAGGCAGAGCGTGACCACCAGTTCGGCGGGACATATCGAGATTGTGGCCCCCTTTTGAAAATTTGGACAAGAGACTTGCCGTTCGTCTGAAGATATTCGTGCCTGACTTCACAAAATACAACCTGCTCTCCAGGTCCATCCCTGAATCGAGAACGAAGCCGACGGATTTTTGTTTCGCAAGCCTGAGTGGTGTCTCTGGGCTTTTTTGAAAATCGATGCTCAGGCTGTTTCGGTACGGGCTCCCATTTGGCAAGAAGAAAATACAAGCACACGTCTACAGTGAAGCGCTTGCTTCCCCTCTCGCTCGATTGAAGCTACCTCGACTGTCTTTGAAAAAGCGCTTGACTGCAACAAAGGACTCACCTGAATCGGTACTGCAATATATGACATTGTCTGCTGGAAGCTTATTTCGTCACAATGCCGAATACGACATTCTTCGTGTCCTGGCAGCTATGGGAGCAAATGACCTTTGTGGGCTCTCTCGGTCATAACTCTTGCTATGTAGCTTTACTGATAGTTCTACGGGCAGGTTCTCGCTGCGGCCATAGCCGTTGTCTTCTTCACGGGCCTCGCCAAGCTCTACTGGACGAACCACCATCTCCGCAAGCAGGAGGTCATCGATGCCGAGAAGCAAGCGAGATTGACCGAGATGCGGAAGACAGGTCTCCGGTCCAACGGTAGACGGGCTGGCGAAATTCCGTTCGGCGTTCGAGCGATTCAAAGTGGAGTTGAGGTGGAAGGTATATGGATCTCTCGTTCCACTTCACCTATATCACACCTGGAGAAACAAAAAAGTGATGGCAGAGCTGCGTCATCGACGACTAAGGTGGAAGAATATGAAGAGAAGCCAAGCAGGAAGGTAAGGGGCAAAGAGAAATATCGAGGCGACGACTCTGGCAGCCTAAAATCCATTCGAGAGTCTCGGCCGTCCCCAACTCGCAACGAATACTTTGAATCAAGAGGTGATGTGGCTCTGAGTATTGAAGACACGCCACACATGGCAGCGCCGAAAGCAAGGAGCCAGGCCACTCACCAACGTGTGAAGAGCCTTCTCAACGAGGAGACACTCAGACAATTGGAGGGCCAAACATCAAGGGCGAGGATCAATACCTACATACCCACCTCGTCATTCGACACTCCTCATTCGAGGATCTTAGGAAGACAGAACTCTCATACATCAGCATCTTCGGCTACGGAGTCTACGATCTCTGAATCTAGCTCTGGTCGGACCGGGCCACGCTCTCAGTATACATCACGAAATCCCAGCTCATCAAGCCGTCACTATGTGCCTAGGCAATACCGACCTGGCTACAACGCAATACCGCAGGGATCTCCTGAACAAGAGCCTCATGTATCACTAGGAAGCTCGACAGATACGCCCGCCTTCTCAACGCCCTTGTCAACGCCATCACACAGCTTTCCACCAAGTCGCAGTGACTCTCAGCTACCTTTGCTTCCTCGCCAGCAAGGACCGCCAATACCGGAGCCTACGTTCGGCCCGGGTGATATACACTACAATCGTTCTGCAAGAAGAGTTAACGAAGGATTCGAAGTACTGCCAGCTGGTCTTCTTGGACTGCCACCGCAAGTAGAGGTTACCAATCCTGATCTCGAAAGCGGCGAACTTCGTGAAACTGGGGGTCGTAAGAAACTGCGAAAGAAAAGTGTGAGCCAGACCCAACTTTCCGGAGCCCCTTAATGCCAGAATATTGCTTTCCAAGGCGAAACCCGCCGTTTGGTGTATCCTGCTGCTTGGGCTGGGCAATCGTACGAGAATTGGACATGTCACCACACTGAGCAACTGCATGCTTTTCAAGATATTCATATTGGATTCAATCACTCTCTTTCCCAACAGATAGGGCTCACAACGGAGTCAAGCCCGCATATATTGGCGTTATAGGAAAACGAGACATTGGTGACTATTGGCTCGGCGTTGGAAAAGCAACTGCGCTTGATATGCTCCTCTACAGCATAGAGCAGTAAGCATGATAACCGAATGATGTGTTGCAATATTCCTACGGAAAGGATAGATGGAATGTCATTGATTTTTCACATTCACACATGCTTCTTTTCAACGATGTCTCTTCAAATGCTAGTTTTAATATGATATGCACCTATCAGTAATCGCAACCCGTTTGCCACCAGAGCTCCTATGAGTCTCTTGGGCTGGGTATCTTACATCTGCCAAATACTCCGTTCAATAATTCACCACCAACGCCGATACCCAAACTGACTAAACCAAGGCTGTTCCCATGCTACGAGAGCTTCTTGAGCTCGTTATCATCCACTGTACCAACGAATGCATGCTGGAGAAAATGCAGCCACACCTTATTATGCCTCTTCTTCTTCTTCTTCTTTCCGCCCTTCTTTCCTTTCTTCCCTCCCTTACCCTGCGTATCGACTTCTCCATCCTCGTCCGCTTCCTCAAGTTCCTCCTCAAACATATCCATCATGAACTCATCATCGGTAATCTCATCATCGACCACTTCACCCATGGTCTCTGATTCCTCTATGATAGCCTTCGACTTGGACTGTCGTTGGCCCATGCGAAACGCCAAATCTATGAAGCTATTGACCGTTAGATCGGTCAAATTATACAGCTTGTCGTCGAAAGTGGTGTATTCGACCTCGAACTTGAAGGTACGTGGCTTCGCAGGTTTCTGCGGAGGCTTCTTGTCCCGGTGCTTGCCGTCCTGCCAGCGATTATTTTGAGGCCCCGTGCCCAAGGACTTATAATCGTTGTTGATATGTGTCAAGTTGGCATAGTACTGTGTGTAGCCAGTGAAGGTCAAGGGCTGCGGTGAATAGGCGGGCCCCGGAGGAGATGATTTTGCTGGGGGATCCGGCACAATTAGGTTGGGATCCTTATCTTTTCCTCCCTTCTTTTTGTCACTTTCTGGCTTCTTGCCCTTCTTCTTTTCCTGCTTCTTCTTTAAAGCGCCAAAGTCAGCATCTTCTAGGGATCGTAGTTCCAGTGGCATCTGGTCGCCTGAAATATCAAGCGAGGATGAATCTTCAGTTATTGGTAACTGCTCCGTCGAAGCGGCCCAGGGTATGGCGTTTTCGAGCCCGGAGATGTTATACTCGACCACGCGAAGGGTTGGGAAATAATTAGGTACGATACTGGGGCTGATCAGAGACAACTGGTATCGTTCTGCCCACCGACCTCCGAGCTTCTTTTTATGCTTTTTGCCGTTTTTTCCTTTGTTCTTCTTCTTCTTCTTCTTCTTCTTGAGCTCACCCATATCTTCAGCGTACAAAACAGGTCGAGGAAGCTTTGACCAGCCATCTCGAAGTTCCTGAAGGTATTCAGCAGTCGAAGCCACCGAGAGTTCGCCCTCCATTGCTTCTCGAACGAGTGACATCGTCTCTGCTTCAGCATCGGCAGTGTCTAAGTTGATCTGTTTTGTGTCCTGGATCAGGAAGTGATCAATATTCATGTGGCCGTAGGTGCCACCAATAACGACATCTCGATATTGTTGAAGCCAGAGGGTGTATTTCTGCCAGCAAGTCTCATCCCAGAGTTGCTTGCTATCAGTCCGGGCGGGCGGCACATGACCCATCATGATGGCCTTCATGCCCCGGAGACGCATGAATTGCAGTTGAATGCGCAGCCATTCCATCTGTTTAAAGCCGGGCTCGGATGGTTGAGCGCAGTCGTCAACACCAGCATTCCTGTCGAAGAAATAGAGCGTGTTAAGACTGAATACGGCGAGCTTGTGGGGGATGACCTCGACGTAGAACCAGCCACCAAACTCGAAGCTGTGGCGCTGCTCCTCGGGTATGAAGTTCTTCCAGATATCGGTATAGTACTGCAGCCATTTGTTGGGGCCCGGAAGCAGAATGTTGTGTGGTAGGATATCATTGTTTCCCAGAGTCGGGATCACAGGGACGGCCAACGCCTTGGGTCCTTCGGGATTGGCAAACACCTCTGCGAACTTGTCGGCAATCCAGCGGTTGGTGCCCAGAACCTGAGCTGGTGAGCGTGGTATGCGTTCATCAGAATCATGGCGAGCCGAATCTCCGGTCCAAATGACAAAATCGATATCGTCCGCGATGTTTTCCGCTATCCAGTCGAATGTCGCGTTGATGAGACTGAAGGGGGTGTCGCAGTCGGATGTCTCAGCGCCGTAAGTGCCTGCGGGGCCATCTCCACGATGGCAGGCCGCCTCCTCGTCGGTGGATGAATGCACCTTGTAGAACTCATCTGGATGCAGATCTATGTCAGGCTGTTGTTAGTCAGGAGCCTAGAGAGCAAGAGCAGGCTGGGATGGCAATGACAACAATCATGATGAGGTCACACCATAATCTATCCCCGACTCTGATGGACTTCAAATAGGAGATAAGGCAAGATACGCGATTGCACTCACCAGTGATATGCAGGAACTTGCCCTGCAGCTTCCGTGGGCCAGCGGCAGGCGCCGCAGGTGCAGGCAAAGGAGGTTTGTCGAGAACGACTTGTGGTTGGTTGGCGCTGGCTGCAGGCAGAGGCAGAGGCAGAGGCAGAGGCCCAGACACCACAATGGCAGTCTGCCAGAGCAGTAGCACGCCTGTTGTGCATGCAAGTCGAAAGGCCGCCATCTCGTCGAGAGAGGCTCTTGAGACGGTGTGGGATACTCTCAGAAGCCGTATGTCTGGGGGTGTGTCTTTGGGGAGAATCCGAGCGTGACGAGAAATGCTTGCTGGCAAAGAAGCGGCGCTGGGCAGCTATGACTTCATAGCGACATGATCCGCCGTGCCGCCTTTACTTGTAGGTCTTTTTGAGGCGGTCTCGCGGTGCCCCAGAACTTTGGACGCCGCGCTGAAAACGCTGAGCGAATGGCACAGCTTCCCGCGTGTGGTGGGGCTGGCTGCAGGGCAAGCCCAGGGGATATGATGCGCTTGCCTCGTCCGTTGGGGCTGGACTTGGGGAAATGCTACAACAGACTGCAAGTAGAAAGGAAGAGGGAAAGGGGAAGAAAAGAAGGAGAAATATAATAATGTGAAGATTACGCTGTGAGGTAGGTAAGCAACCATCGAGACGACCCTTGACCCATATACAGCCGCTGGCCAAGGTATACATACATACATTAGGTACATACATACATCCATACATACAACCCAGGCTCGCCTCTGGAGCCTTCACGTAGATATTCCTCGAGACGGACTCTCCCGTGACAACCTTCCCAGACCAGGTTGTACATCTAAACTAAGCAGCGTCTTCCTCCATTCATCTTCTCCTGTTCATCATCCATTAGTATCATTATCATGATGATCCTTGAAATCTAGCATCAGACCTGGGCAAGCTAATGCGACTGCAGCCGAGAAGGGCGCACACCTGAGGAGCGTCGATAGTCACTCGATACACCTTGATGGCTTCTTAACACCACCATCCCAGCACCAGAGCGTGGGGTCGGGCCAAATGTCTGATGACCTGCCTGGCTGACAGTACGGGGATGTTAAGTTGATACCCCCGTTCACATGCTGCTGAGTATCGTGGTGCTGGCCACGGCGGACTAGTCGCTGGGTCACCCGTTGCCAGACATCTCTGCCGTGGGCCAATCCTGTGCCCACGTGTTGGACACAATGGAGAGCAAGGCGAGATCCAGCAGTGGCTGAGACAACACAACACAGCTCGGCTCACACACCTGCCTACTGCTAAGCTACTGGTACATGCCTACGTTATTTGCTCGAGCATCCATCCGGCTACGTATCTGACTTTGCGAAGGGAATGGCTTCAGGCGCACGTGGACAGATGCCTCTTGCGTAGTTGGACAACCGGCTACGATGATGCCCCAATTCGTGACCGACACAGGGTGGCTGCTGAATCAGACCGTGCCCTGGAGCAACATCTCGAAAGCGATCCCCGAAGCCATAGCTCTTGCTTTGTAGAGAACGGTTGGCGCCCTTGTTTGAAAGGATGAACAACGTGTGTTCACATTTGGTCGGAATCCAGCTCTGGGTAGTCCATCACAACTGGATCTGTCGCCATCAATGGCATGCCACCAGATGAAATCTTTATCCAAGCCACTTGCATTTAGTCCTTGAGAAAGCCGTCGGGGTAAAGAGCATTATGAATATCCGGAAAGCTCTCCGGGTTGATCTGGACACCTGACTGGCCTGTAACAACTTACCTTGCATCATGATCTATCCCATTTCGTAACACAGTTTGCAGCCGGCGGCGGTCGAGCCACATAGTAGCAAGCAGTCGTGTTTCGCATGATATCTCAACAATGAAATCTTGAATGACAAGTTGCTTCAACCAGTAACGAAAAGCGTCGCTATAGGTTTACGGTCCTTGTTCAGGCAAATTGAGCGAATGCTCGCTTTCTTTTTCGTGAGACTGGTGTGCGCTAGGGCCGCGAACTGGTACGTGCGCATTCTGCTCCACAGCATGAGAGCTGGCGAATTTTTTATACTGCCTTCATCCTTCCTTTCTCTTTCACATTCAACAGCAACGCCTCACAACGCCAATTTGCCGCACTTCGGCTTGGTGTTTTCTTATTTCTCATGAGAAAAGTTGCAAGATGAACTCATTGCCGCACGTTTGAGGGAGGTCGGAGCATTTACAAGGCTGTGATGGTTTCCTATGGTTTTAGACGGCTACATGATCTTCCCCCGCAATTGGGAAGTTTCCCTTCGGCCTGGAACAAGAGATTTCTCCTCCTATGCCATGCATCGTCGTTGATACAGACGAACGGATGCTTATTGCGCGCTGCTTGCTTGCTATATGTTTTTGAGGCCAGAAATGATCAAATGTCCCATCCGTACCCCGGAACGTTGCGCCAAATCAATGGTATTGAAAGCAGTCTGCCCTGACTCGCTGCCTCGCTGACAAAACTACCAAAGCCATTGCGGAACGCCCGCCGCTACTGAATAATGACAAGGCGACCCCCCACAATTTCTTTTCAAGTAGGTGCAGTCTATTTCTACGGAAAGTTTCCGTCTTACAAATGATGGTACCGTCTCTAGCATCTAGTTACACGTTCTGTTCCTAGTAAGGTTGTCGATACCCTCATGGTCTCTTACAAATAGCAACGGAAGCATTCCGCTGCTTTATCATGATGCTCTGTTATAACGGGGCAATACTTTGGCGAAATGAATCAATCGCGAGTGTATATAAAGACGATGGCACGCGAGCCTGATATGTCGTTGGAGTTAGCCATTATGCGCAGGTGAACAGCACTAAGTCAAGATCAGGATCTTGAAACACTTCACATAACTCTTTATCCCTTATTCATACGTTGTTTGCTCTGCCGGTGTCCTTGATTACACACCGATATGTCTCAGACAAACCATAACACCACGTAAGTTTTTGAGGGAGCTATTGCTTCTATCCTGGCCAAGGCATCGGACAACATTTTGCATTCGTTTCTAACTCGAGACGCTCAGGTACGCCTCCATCTCGCCATCTCGGCCGGAGCTCTCTACGTCCGGCAAGGTGGTGCTGGTGACGGGAGCTGGCAGTGGCATCGGGAAAGCCGCAGCTGTGTCATTTGCTGCTTCAGCCGCAAATGCTGTCGTCTTGCTTGGTCGCAGCGAAACGAAACTCAAAGCCGCAGCCGACGAGATTAGTGGCCAATCCTCAACAAAGGTGCTCATATTTGCTGTCGACGTCCTTGATGCTGTAGCTGTGAAAGAGGCCATGGCGTCTGTCAAGGCAGCGGTTGGGGCTATCGATATCTTGGTCCATGCGGCAGCGATTTTGCCCCCCTTAGGGCCTTTGGCTACAACAAGCGTCGATGGCATCTGGGAAGCGTTTGAGATAAATGTTAAGGGCACAATGATCATTGCTCAGACAATGCTATCATACTGCAGCGACAAGCCTGTCTTTGTGTCTCTTAATACAGCCGGTGTCATTATGGGACCCCTGCCTAATATGGGCGCCTATGTGAGCAGCAAGCTGCCTTTGGTGAAGCTCATGGAGTACTTTGCTGCCGAAAATCCTTCGTTGAGAGTCATGAACGTTCATCCAGGCCTCATCAAGACAGATGCGGCGGACATTATTGAGAAGACGGGGCTGGTGTTCCCATATGATGATAGTAAGTCGATCGATATCGGTTTATAGTAAGCTTTCACTAACGATGACTGTCCAGTCTCTCTTCCAGCCGACTTCATTGTCTGGGCTGCAAGTGAAGAGGCTGCGTTCCTGAAGGGAAAGTTCATATTCGCGAACTGGGATGTTGACGAGCTCAAGGCAAGGCGAGAGGAACTCCTGAACTCCCCTGATTTTACAATGGGTTTACGTGGTTTCCCACCTGCTACAGCATAATTTTGCTCCTTACACAATGAGGAACACCTGAACCTTAGAAGTGTCAATAATTTTCATGAATATTACCTGACTCCTATGCTCCTGTACCTACAAGTCGGATCTGATATTATGTAGGCTGTAGAGAATACAGAAGTTTCGATGCTCATCAAGCTGATGGACTAGTCGTGGTCGCTTGGTTGGCATGGATCTCATTCGAGGCTCCCTCAATTTTGCACACTCTTCATATGTTCAAATTAGGCCTCAATATTCTCAAGAGATGAGATAGGGTAGCTGGTATACGAGGTACAGCCTTTAAAGGCCGGGTGTGGCTACCCCAAACAAGGCACGCTTCAGGGAGAAACCCTTAACTCGATTCCGAGAAAGAGCCTTACCTTGGGTCCTCCGCCTATCTCAAATTTTTTTTTTTTTTACTTTCAAAACATCTAGGCTACCTATCATTGGGCTTATGTTATCTGATTGATTTTTATCATTATAAGGGAAGTGTGGCGAGGCTGCGTATAAGTGTAGGCAGGATGTCGAATACACTACTTGACTGCGTGGCAACAGGGAGTGCTTTGTTCTCGAACATGCTGGCAGAGCATGTCTAGGATGATATCTACTTGAGACTTGGAAAAGCGAACAAAATCAAATGATAAATAGTAACCATTGGGTACAATATCAAAAGATCCTATACAGGAGTTCACAAAATTGCCCACCATAATTTAACTGCGTGTCTACCTACTTAGGTAATTGGGATTGACACTCTACGAGAAAAGAGCTCTAAGCAAGCACCACTTAGCTCTTGCCGGACTCTCCCTTGGCTCAGGTAGCATTGCAGACCAATCTCATGTCGCCATTCCAACTGTGTAGAAACAAGGATTCAATGACGGGTCTAGAAATGCTCGACCAGATTGCTGACAGCGGGAGAATTGAAAACGGTGTTGTTCAAAGTAGCTAGGTAGCTACCGGTGCTTGTACAGGAAGCTATGAGCGCACGGGCCTACCTAACTAGTCTAGCTGTTTTCCTTTCAAGGCAGAACGCTAGAAACCACCTGGAAAGAAGGCGGACAGAAATTCTGCCACCAACCTCAAGACGCGCCTGGGCTTTTCCGCGCGCCGACAACGTTTCCCCAAACTCTGCGACAACAAGCCTGGAGCGAGGTGCAGAGACGAGGCCAAGATGGATTCGGAGCCGCCGTACATCTACAAGGAAACTCGGGTCAATCTCGACTCTGCTTCCACAGCGTCGATCGTCCATATCCGCTTGCCCTCAGCCACCCAGAACAGGTCCAGAGACCGTCGAACTATTGGCTCTGAGAAATACGCCGAGGAAGAGAGAGCATACCGAGCAAAGAACCTAGCGACAGCCTCCTCCATCTACCACCGCAAGCACCACAACGCGCCGCGCAGCTTCTTGTGGAGAGTGCTGGAGGACGACACCGTGTTGAGTGTACGAGCGGTCGACATCTCCAAACAACAGAATGCACATGATGCAAACCTCATTCTTCACTTCCATTTCGCCAATGCTATCCGCCCTTCCTGCATTGCGTTCGCCGATCCCCTCGAGCACGACGCCCTGAGCATATTTGTTTTGGACCAGTCGAATTACCTATACACTCTCCTGCTTCGTCCCGATCACTTTCGCAAGCGATCAGCTACAGAGAACGGACTGGGCGACTCCTGCAAGACGTATCTATCATCCACATTTAGCTTCAAACACCCACACCGACTATCCGCAGCTAGTGCAGACCAAATCATCGTTACTTTGCACGATGGCGGTCTCATAAGATTTGATCAGAACAAGGGACATGACAGTACGCACGATACATTTCAAGTAGATGCTTGTCACAGATTCGCTGACTGTATATAGCCGTTGTTCGTCCATGGAAAGACACTATCTACACCGCCCAGGGCTGGGCCAAGGGTTTGCGAAGCCTTATTCCCTTCCAAGGAGGCCCGACGATCAAGCATGGGAGGGTCAACATGGAGCTGAGTGCTGCGACTTCGATCGCCATCGATTCTATGGGATTCGACGATGCATCCTTTCTTTTCACAGTCTGCGTTGACCACAGATTGAGGATATGGAACATCCGAACCGGTGCCATTCTCTACACTGGTGATATCTTGAACACCGAACGTAACCCACAAGAGATTGGCAAGTGGATCATTGAACCCGGTCTGGCGAATCTTGTGAGAGTCGTTGGACGCTCCGAAGGCAAACGCTTGCTCGTGACATACTCTCCCGTCGGGTCGGGTGAGTTCAAGTTCTGGAAAGTGGAGACTCAAGACGAGAACACAATCTATGTCCATGACTGTTTCCCAGATCGCAAGCTAGTTCCTCCAGCTCCATCATCAGCAGATGTGTGGACGCTTGCCGACTTCGCAGCTGGGCAGCCTACAGGACGAGAGATACATTTGTGGACCTTGTGGAAGAACAATATGAGCTATCGCGTCCAGAAGCTGGAATTCAGCCCAGAGCAGAACGGAGAGTCATGGTCGGATGGCTGGGTGGGAGTTCACATCGACAATGCGTTGCCGACAGCGCAAACCTCAGGACCATGTGACCCGGTAGACTCGACAGAAAAGTGGCTGAAGGTCTTATTTCATCCAGGACGGTTTTCCAAGTCAACGCTTGAAACAGCACTCTCCATGTACGAACGCGGATTAGGCTCGTCAAAAGATGCCTCTTCTCGGGGTACCAAAGGTTTGGCAGAGTCGATCTGTTCCGTTCTCGGATCTACCGCGACGCTAGATAAAAGCTCATCAGGAGGTATGGACTTCGAGCAATTTCGAGCGACTAGCGAGATACAATGGCGGCGATTCTACCGACTTGTGGTTGAACTTGACAAACAAAGAGGCGAGGCTTTGTCTTTGGCGCTTGATTCTGAGGCAGGCATGGCTTGGGTGTTGTGCGCAGACCTCGTTGCTGCAATGCGCCAGTGCAGTACGATCGATCAGGTCTATCATAGCCTTTCTGCACCGGACTCGACAACGGAGAAAGTGGCAGCCCTTATCTCGGCTGGCTTGAACTTCCTTGATAACTTTTCGGATAGCATTTTGCAACAAAGTGCCTCCGCGCTCCGATCAGAGTTGTTCGAGGACTCGTCGAAGACAGATATCGAGCGCATCCAATCTTTTTTCGACAAGTCGGGATTTTGGCGTCAAGTCTCGGATGAAGATGCCGCCCAAGTTGTTGAGGCACTCGGAAAGGATTTCAAGTCGGTGACTTTTGAGCTGTATCGGGCTCTTTTAGAGCTGGTGACGGCAACGGATGATGCACGAAGTCGAGACATCCAACATCCCTTGACCGAGTTCGGCCGCAAAGTCATTGTAAAGGCAGTTCAACAAACAGTAGGGCTACATTGGCAGGTGCTGCTCAGCCAGCTTATTCTCTTGGTACATATGGAATTCGAGTTCGACCAGGATAACGAAGCCGATGCGTTGCACTCAAGATTCGACATAGGTCTAGTATATCGCCAGCTCATTGTCGCTCTACAGAGATTGGAGCTGGTGCGATGGCTGGCAGAAACTGAAATCAGTGTACCCATACCCAAACCTGACAGATCCTCAATATCCGCATCTCCATCCGCATTAAAGCGAGCTGGCGAAGATATGCAGGTTATCACAGCATTCGAGGGCAATGTCAGTCATCTTCTAGGCTTAGTTGGTGTCAACGGCGAGCCACTTGCATCGAACTTGACAGAAGCGGTAATCGACATCTGCGCATCAGACAGCGACATCGAACTATCCCCGACACTCATCCAATGCTCTTTGCTAAAGCGAGACCGACCCGACCTGGCGCTTGAATTGACACCGTTCTGTAGTCAGTCACCTTTCTCAACTTACGTGCAGGGCCGGGTGTTCCTCGCTTTGAAGGACTATACAAGTGCTGCTCTCCTGTTCAAGAAAGCAGCGATCGGGATGAGTATGATTCGCCCGACCAAACATGATGTACTTAGCTTACAGTGATGACAGGTGTTCCAATGAAGCATGCCGACAGACATAGCGGAGGCTTACTGGACGATACCGAGTGGAAGCTCCTTAATTCTGGGCTCGCCAACTATTATTCCCACGTGGTCTCCCTTTACGACCGCCATAAGGCCTACTCTTACGTGGTTGACTTCTCCCGACTATCTCTGCAGTTCGCAAATGGTCAGGATTCGCACTCTATTAGGACAGAGATGCTGAGTCGACTATTCACAGCGTCGACAACCATTTCTCGCTTCGAACAAGCTCACACGACCCTTTTGTCAATGACAGACCAGGCCCTACAGCGCTCGTGCCTTAGAAAGCTGGTGGAAAGGATGTGTGAGACTGCACAGACTGCCGAGCTGATTGCTCTTCCCTTCTCAGGTCTACAGGAAGATGTCGACGAGACTCTTCTTCAGAAGTGCCAGGCGGCGACGGACGTTGTCCAAGGGACGCCTTACCATAAGATCCTCTATGCTTGGCGTATCAGTCACAATGACTACCGCGGGGCAGCTGCCATCTTATTTGATCGACTCCAGAAGCTACGCCAGGCAGGAGCGGGCGATAAATTAAGTGGCGATGATGTACTGGATACCCCAGTAACGAAGCAGTTCCTGATGCTCATCAACACGTTATGCTGTGTGGATACCAAACAGGCGTGGATAACCGTCGAGGAGCGAGCTAGACCTACAGAGGTGGAAGCCCCTAAGAGAAAGGTTGTCACGCTTGCGGACATCCGCAAACAGTACCAGGACGAACTGGACAGAATTGCTGCCATCCAGAATAACCAGTTCGGATTTACAGCGGAGGATGAAATTATGGATGATTCATGAACCAAATAAAAATTACGGACGGCCTGTCCCGTATGATGTCTTAAAAAAGTTTGGGTGTGGGATGATACCACCGGGCAATGTAAGAAATAGACCATAGGAGCATTGCTGGCAAATCAAGTGAAAGCGTACAAATATCCATTAGAAGAAAGCCTTGTAATACCTAACGCCGCGACCAATGCTAAAATTGCTCAGGAACCCCTTCACGAGTTCATACATACAAGTGACAATCGACCCCAAGTCATTCTGCTCATGCTGGGACAGTGGTTATCCTATTCTCAGGAGGTAGAGGTAGTCCATCTGCGCCGTTTGCAAGCTCTGGGGCCTGACGGAACAGGATGATCTCGGATTGCTTGAAGTATCTCCGAGCATCCTCATCAATCAGAACCAGACTCAAGTAGTACCTTGTAGAGAACTTCTTGTTTACATCCCGAAAAGTGGGCGTTAGATCAAATCCACCGAGGAAGAGCCGTATCGGGATCGTCTCTCCTCTTGAAGGAGAGCCATCCATGATCTAAAAGCAGCAAGTCAGTTTTATCTTCACTATGGAATTGAATCAAGCTTGAGCTGCCAGCATGGCGATCGAATACTCACCTCAAACCGCACTAAGGTTTCGCTCTCATTGTACTGATTTGGCGCGGCACCAGTCGTCTCTCTTCTGATGATTGAGAGTTCCATATGCTTGATCTTGAGACGCACCAGGAGGAAGTAGATCCTACCCACAATCACGTCCTTGAGGTGATATTTGCTCTTGCTGTACTCGAACTCGATGTGCAGGCAGTCCTCGATACCAACGTCCATCTTGATGCTGCTGTTCATCTCGGGCGGGATTCGATAACTGTACACCCAAATATCCTTCTCCCGAATGACATCGGCCATGCGTCGGGAGACGGTTACACGGACAAAGTAACGCAACTTGACGTTGATACCATTATAGGACTCGTATTGTTTCTCGACGTTTTTGAAATTGAAGTCGAAGGTCTGCGGATGTTGGAGTTCGCCTGGGGCCGCAAGCTCCTGCACTAGGGATAGGAACTCATAGTGGTTGCCGCGATCGAAAAACATCTCTGCAGTAAGCACTCTTAGTCCAAAGTCTTCCCAAGTGATCGAGAATCGGAAACGCGCGGGCGGGAGGCCGTACCTATCGTGCCGATAAATTGAACCTTGATACCGGTGTGCTCCAGCCGCTTGCCATCTTTCGGTCGCACTGTGACTGCGCCCTTGACCGACTCGCCGTCCATGTATAGCGGAGCTTTCTCGCGCCGGTTCTTGTCCAGCTTGACATCCACCATGGACCGGTCATCGGCATCTTCTAGGACGATGTCGATATCGACCGGTGTCGCAAAGAAATACGACATGTTGCCGGCCCCCCGTGAGCTAGGCAGCTTGAATATCTGCAACGGGCAAGTCGGGAGAGATGGTTTGAGGGATACGAAACCGCGATGCGGAGTATCAATCGAGTGCTTGACTATCGGAAGGTGCCTTGAGTGCAGGTGGTCGTCAGCTCCTTCTCCACGGAGGCGGCGTCACTGTCCACCAAGCTACCTTAGGTACCTAGGTACACCTGCAGGGGCTGGGCTGGAGAGCTTGGAAAGGTGCAACCAATCAGCGCCCACGAGCTCCAAGACGGTAGCTTTCAACCGTGTAGCTTCACCTTTCTTTCCGAAGACCACAGCCAGGAGGAGATCGTAGACGTTCTCAGGCTTGAAGAAAAAGCTCTTTGATAGATAATAAACTAGAGGAGGATTTGGCTGCCAGAATATTCTCAAGAACTTCGCTCCTGGATGCCCTGTTCTACCACTAAATCTGCTTATGTCCTTCATCACGTGATCATAGACAGGGGAGAATTTGTCCACTTCTCACCGCCCTAAGGAGGTTCGGCTGATCTTGTCTCCGTTGTATATGCCCCGCCAGCCATTGATTTTTTTTGAGGTTCTTCCTACATCACGTGCATCCTCCCTCCTAGCGGAAACCCTAGAATTTCCCAAGCCCACTGATTCCGCCAAAAATTTCGAGGCCGACTTGGACTACGACGTGACGCTTCAATAACCACCCCAGCATCTCCTCACGAAAATACCGACGAGATGAAGTACATTCATTCGGAGGAGTCCCTGGAGATTCCGGAAGGAGGTACGATTACTTGCGACTCTCCCCGTTGTCAATTCGGCCAACAAGAGGTGGAACACCCCGGATCCTCTGCGCGAAGTGCAGTACCATGATGCGGCAGCGGCCTGGATCCGGGGCTTGGGCGAGATATTCTGGCAGGATTCACAGGGAAATGGGATCATTGGGATCATTGCTGACTGAGTTTTTGTCTAACAGTCAAGGTCCACATCAAGTCCCGACTTGTCACCGTCGAGGGCCCCCGAGGAAAGCTCACCAAGGACCTCTCCCACATCGCTGTTAACTTCTCGAAACCCAAGAAGAACGTCATCAACATCGAGATTCACCACGGCGTCCGTAAGAATGTCGCCGCTCTCCGAACCGTCCGCACCCTCATCAACAACCTGATTATCGGTGTCACCAAGGGCTTCAAGTACAAGATGCGATACGTCTATGCCCATTTCCCCATCAACGTCAACATCGACAAGAACGGCGAGACTGGCAACTACGAGGTTGAGATCCGGTACGATTTAAATTGACGCTCCCCGCGACGCTGAAGGCACGCGAGATATTGTTGGAGTTGGAGTACTGACATGGTATGACAGAAACTTCATCGGTGAGAAGATCGTCCGAAGAGTCGTGATGCAGCCCGGTGTCGATGTCGAGGTCTCCAAGGCCCAGAAGGATGAGCTGATCGTGTCGGGCAACTCCCTGGAGGGTGTGTCCCAGAGCGCTGCGGACATTCAGCAGATCTGCAGAGTACGGAACAAGGATATCCGAAAGGTAAAGTGCTTCTCTGGGGTTATAGCTTCTCGGCTCTCAAAACTAACATTCCTCTTTAGTTCTTGGATGGTCTGTACGTCTCGGAGAAGGGCAACGTTGTTGAGGAGTGAAGGAATTGGGCCACGGTCTCTTTGTGCTTTCTGGGTCTTACAGGAGTGGCAGGGGTTTTCATCGGCACTTGCATCATCATGTAGCACGATGCTACGAATAAAAACGGCCAATTCCACAAAATAAACCTCAGGTCAAACGAACCCTCCAACTCCGGTGTGGATCAATTGCTATGTGACTGCATATTTTCAAGGGAGGGACTCAACAGGTTCATTCAAATGGAGACTTCTCGACGGAAGCTCGCTCTCTCATTAATTGTGCCGTGTGCTTCCTGATCTATTCGTAACCGCCTTATTAGGTTAGGTCCCAAGCTGTCTTCATACATGAAACATTCGACATAACCCAAACGTTGCAGCGCTATTCGACGACAAGCTGCTTGCATCCACCCTTATACTCTAGGTATCTCATCATATCCTGCTATTTCGTTTTAACCCATGCTTGAAGAGGCCGCGAATCGTGAAAAGGGAGAAAAATCAACAGGTGCCAAACGCCGAGTGATGTGGAGGGGGTGAACTAATATATACGAGATGCGATCCCAGGGTGATATGCAGAATCCTAGGGAACTTCAGGAGCTGGCGCCTGATGCTATAAGGTGAGATATACAATCGCAAGGGGCGAATTCATCATCGCCGAGACGGAGCCCGAGAGACACGCGATCTCTCGGTCCTCCGACTGCGGCGAGTGTCTCTCGTCCGTCCGCCAGAGCTGGCGCTACCTGAACGCAGATGGTCAGCCACCGTCTTTGGAATCAAAGATGGCCAGGAACGGCTCAACGGGTTACTTACTAGGACTGCTGGCTGTGTACGAATCCGAGAAGTACGAGCTACTAACATCGCTCCTCGTCTTCGTGGCACGCCGCTTCTTGTCTCTCCTGAGACCCAGGAGCAGAAGCAGCGTGCCTGCTGCGGCGCCCAGGCCTAACCAGCCTGCACCGCTCGACTTCTTCTTCTCCGTGCGCCGCGACCCTGCAACCGTCGACGGCCGCCCACCCCCGCCGAACCACCCAGTATGCCTGTCACGGCGGGAGTGGACTGACCCATGGCGGGTGTACCGCTCCTCTTCGATGACCGTTTCTCGACTCCTGCGGTCCTTCTTCTTTCCTAGGCCGAAAATGGCAAGGAGGCCGTGCCACAGACCCCGGACGATGCAGCAGAAGCAGAGGAGCAAGAGCAGGATGACACCGGCGATAACACCGATAACAATGCCTGCAATGGCGCCTCCACTCAAGTTGGAGCCGGTGCTCCCGCTGGAGACTGCTGTGCCGTTGCCGGTGGTTGTCGCACTGGCCAAGACGCCTGTGCCCGTGGTGGTGGCCGTCACGGTGGCGCCGCTCGTCACCCGGTAAGGGGCGCTGTACTGGGTCGTGATGGTGGTTCCGCCGGTGGTAATTACCGTCGTCCATGTCGTGCCGGCGTCTCCACCTCCTCCACCAGCATTCGCCATGCACTGGTTCTCATATGCGCAATATTGCCAATTCGCGCAGCATATCGACCCACAGGCAATCTGGCCCGTTCCCGGCTCGGGGACACAGGCAGCGGGTGCTGGCGTTGTCGCTGCCGGGAAGTAGCTGCTCTTGGTGGAGGTGAACGTCTCGGTGAGCGTCCAGGTGGTCGTGTAGAGAGCGTATCCTCCTCCTGCGGCTGCATTGGAGCAGCCCGCAATGCCATTTGACGTATAACATTCCTGGCCCGAGCCGCAGCAATACATATTATTGTAACCGCAGTATTGCACGCAGTCTCGGTCCATGAGATAACCCACGCCCTTGTCGTGTACATCGTCTTTGGGGTACGGGTGGGCCGATACTGAGCGCAGCAAGAGAACGGATGTAAGCGCAGCCAGCGGGCTCGGCCGCAGGTGCTGTAGGAAGCGCATGATGAAGCTCAAAGCTTCGAAGCTCTTAAAATTGGGGCAATTCAAACTCTCGAATATCCAGGGCCAAGTAAATTTTGTCGCTGTGATTGTCGTCGCCGTCGTCGAGGCGGTGAGCTCGTCGTCCCGCCGCTGTGGCCCCTCCACAGCTTGCTTCGCGTGGTGACCGCTCTCCACAAACTTTGAAGTCTGGAACCCGCAATTGTCTTGCCCTTGGCGCCTCGTCCCGTCCCGGTGGTTTCTACTTTTAGTCGGACCTGCTGGAATGGAAGGAATGCAAATCGCCCGGTGGGGATTTTCTAGCTCTGTAAAGACCGACAGAAATTGTCTCAGTCGCTGAGACGTTGGTTTGGACGTCGGCTGGGTGAGGTTCGTGATACCGATACCGATACGGATGAGATGGGACGGATGGAATGGAGGGGAACAGAGTGAGTGCGGAAAGAAAGATGGAATGGAAAAGGCGGGAGAGGGTGTGACGAGGAGAGATGGAGATGGAGATGGAGGCTGCAGGTTTTATTTGAATTGCCGGTGGTTGAACTTGCAGCCAGCCAAGACCCTCTCGCAAACGACTCTTCGTGAGTGGTGTATTGATGGTATTGGTGGATGATGGGGTGGTGGTGCTGGTGGTGCTGGTGGTGCTGGTGGGCTGCGATTGTCACCAACCTCCTGCCCCCAGCCTTCTGCTTTTCGAGATGACCTCGCTTTTTTTTTTGGCTCCAGCAACCAACGAGAGGGACTTAGTTGCGTCACAGGCCGGGCCCAAAGAAAACAACAATAATCAAAGGACGGAATTCAGGGATCTAGCCAGCAATCAATCAGCGCATGCAGGAAATCTGAGGGGGCAGGGAAATCAGGCTGTCCTTAATTGCTGTCTGTTAATGTTCCCGTCTCTCTGGCTCTCTGTTCTCTCTGCAACCGGGTACGGTACGGACCGTACGGTACACCACTCGGAGCATATACCTCCTAATGAGCTGGCAGAGCTGTAGGCTTGTCTCTGCGCTGCAATTGAATGGAATGGAATGGAGTGGAGTGGAGTGGAATAAGAGGTATCGTATGCTATTGCCTTGTCTGCTTGGGTACTTCTGGCTCTTCGCTGCACCCAAGGCAATTCATGCATACCTTAGGTCGCCATCGTGTTCTTCCTGCACCTGCACCTTGGGCTGCCGTGTGTTTACTTCCCCAGCCCCTCGCCAGCGTTTACTGGACAATTATCAGAGCTGGCCCATGCGCTTATCGCTGTCGATTGGCCATTGCAGGGGGAGGGGGCCACCCAGCTACCGCTCGCTACCTTTAAATCCTTCCACGGTTAGTCTACCTAGGCAGTATCTAGGTACAGTACCTTGGCTAGCTTGGGGCCTTGTTAGGTGGGCTCCAAGGTTCTCGAGCCCATCCCGGGACCTGGACCGTTAATAAACGGTTTCCTGTCTCATCCAGGGTCAAAGTCCCCGACTCTCTTACCTAAGCTGCGACCTTACCTCGATATGCTGGTCCTGTCCTCACCTTACTAGAGAAGAATATCATTTTCTGCACTAGTGTCTTTCTTTGGGTGTCTCTTCCCTCTTTAAGTTTCTCGTCTTCATCGTCGGATCGAGCTGAAGAGAAGGACTGGAACGGAAGTTCAAAAGCTCCAGATCCTGGATAGCTCCAACGAGAAACATACATCAGGTTGCTTCCACCTTGACCCCATGGAATAGCCAACGAACGTCAACAGATCTGCGCCAAGAGGCTCTTCTGCAATCATGATCATGATCATGTGGTTGAAAGAGTGCGCCCGGTTGACTTTGATAGACCGGGACATTTCAGAATTAAGCTCACGCACCCCGGACGAGCTGCATCGGCCCGCGAATGTAGATTGCGTCGAGCCAAACATCCGGCGGCGGAGGCTAAACTTAAGTATAGCCATTCCAAAGCCGCATCGCAGGTTTGCTATCGAAAAGATAACCGTCGACAAGGCTGCCTCTTGACCGGCCAACTACGCTTGCAAGATGCCTGTCAAACACTCGAGGTCTTCTTCGCCAAGATGACAACAGACGGGGCTGCCGACAACTGCCTGTCACCCCTCCTGCTGATTTTGGAAGGCGATGAAGACCATGCTACTTCGAAGCATCATCCTGCCAACTTGCCGCACAGCAAGGTAAATGAGCCGACTCACATCGCCTTTGGTGTCTTCGATAACGTTACGCTTCTGCAGTGAGGTCCTTATCGACGGGTTGCAAAGACCTTCCCCAGAGCGATTCACAGGAGCGTACATAGTTGCTCGATCGCAACTGCAACCATGTCGATCATTTCCCCTTTCACTTCTCACTCGACGTTTCCACCTTCCCCGAAGGTGTTGTCTTGTCTGAGCTATTCCATACTGTCAGTCTTCGGCCACTCACCTGCGCGTGTCCTTCCTCATCATTCGAGAGAGTATATCCTCGATTGTTGGCAATGCTCGCTCAGCCATGAGCTTTTCTCTTATCTTGTTGTTCCTTCTTCGATATCATACACCGCATGGAGGCAGTTCACTGCAGTCTCACCGTTTATGAGTCAAGTACATGCACAGATACGTGCTCGAGATGTAACGTGCACATTGTCATTTTCTGGCCTCGACTGCGCCGAGAAAGACCCGGAACTCCAGCAAGGCTGGAGAGTCAAACCGCACGAATATTTGGGTTCCAGCGCCAGAGCTATCACATCTCCGCTTTATTCGAAGGACAAGACTCTATCTGCGGCTTCTCCAAGCAGAGCCGCTTATCGGCATTCTGCATATGTCACACATGCAAATTCTCCTAGCTTGCACCTAGACCTAGCTGCAAGGGATCAGCCAAGTCCGTATCTCCTGTGAACAACTACCCTACCGCCGACTGCTTTTACAAAGGATTTCCCCTCACAGTGTCGGTGGGGTCTACCATTTCTCAAATGCGCCATATGCCTGTGAACAGACAAGCCTTCGTCAAGTTACCTTCCCACTATGGCACCACTGCCCGTTGCGCAGTGAGACAGATCCCGCCCGGCATCTGCTTGACGGTGCGGCTTTGTCATGTATCCGGCCCCCATGACAGCCATATCTAGGGCTGCTTGGGGAACCAGCCTAGGTTGCTCTTGGCAGGTCTGCTCCGCAAACCGAGAACTGGCCTGCATTATAATCTGTCTTCTCAATCATCTGACACGCTCATTGTACAATTCACCCCTGTCGGAACTCGAATACATGTTCTCGATGGCCTTGAGTGCTTGCTGGAGGTCACCCTCCGCCCGGTTGGGCTAGTAAGCACTGCTGCACATAAAGTCATTTATCAACCCGCACCCCGGAGTCAGTTCGCTTTGGCATTTTGACAAGTGTCTTAAGGATTTATGTCCTGGAAGCCGGAACTATGCTTCGTCTGTCCTTGTTGGCCGCTTTGAGCGGCATAGTTTCCGCTACATTAGACAAGCCAGCCATCCAGCCAGCCTTTGACCTGGATGGTTCTATGGAAACTCAGCTCCGGCAATACCTTCCGCAGAAAGCTTTTGCATACGAGCAGTGGGCTCCGGGCTGGGTCCCTCAAGATTGTTACGACGCGGCTACCGATAATGGCCTGAGCGCGACGGACTACGTTGTGTATAACGTCACTTATACGGACTGCTCCGAGTCTTGGGTTGTCTGCCGCCATACAGACTCTCCGCTTTCCGCAGATGACATTTTCACGGTGAGTCTTTGATTGTAATCAGCAAGTAGCCATTGGCTCATCTTATGCCTCGTCTTATACAGCTCTTTGGCCAAATACCAGTTGGGATGCGTGAGTATGTGGCCAACCTAGTGGCCAACCCAACAGCGAACGCCGTTGCCTACACGGTCGGGGCATACACTGTGATTTTCGGTGATTGGTTTCACTTGGGCACTATGGCGCACGAGTTCACACATATCCTCGACCTGCTTGCTCTGGAGGAGTATGTGAGTGATCCCGGCTCTCAGCCTTTCAGCGACACCTCGTATTGGCAGACGCCCCAGGACTTGGATAGCGCTCTGCCCACAGCCTACGCCGCTAGCTCATGGCAAGAGGACTTTGCCGAAGCTGGACGGGTTGCGCTGAGTGATATTGTGGTTCCGGGTGGTCTTGCTGGGATCAATCCAAATAGTTCCCAGATCCAGTGGCAGGTCGGCACGTACAAGGACTACCTTGAGGACACGATATTTCCTGCCGGAGAGACCTGCACTGGCAAGGCAGCCAGCTCTCCGCCTGTGCCTGTGAGCTCGAGTGCCAAGGTCAGCTTGAAGGTATTGGGGCCGAAGCCGTACGTTGGCCTCAGTGGTGAGGTGCCGGAGATTGTGGTACCGGAAGGAGCCAAGAAGTTCAAATTTGTGTATCCGCTTCCGGAAGATAGGAGAAGAAGTGTCTCATAGATCCGGCTGAGAGGACATTTGACAGCCCGAGACTTGGTATTGACGACTATCAATGATACATCATGGGATGTGCTTGCAAATTGGCTCCTGCTTGGCTGTGGAGTGATAGCTGCAAGCGCCTTTTAGATCGATCATATTTTGAAGCCCTTTATCGAAGTACAGTCTTCGAAAACCTTTGTCATGTATTCGGCCTATTATTACAGACATTGCCATGTATGTCGTGTAGTTGCGATCGTCTTGGATTCAATTGGCGTTCCCAGCCTTTGGTTGGTTGGCCAGTGCGCGTGCAGCCCACCAGCGCCGTCACAGCTCCATGCTGCGTACACCACAGCTCGAGCTTGACCCAAACCTTCCCTAGCTTTAGCTGCATCTGATATCATCTGCACCTGCACCTCGTCGTAGCTTTCCCGCCTGCATCACACCTCATCCCCCTCAACATCAACTCCCGACAGCCACGCCACGCAGCGCCGCGCCATTTATGCCGCAACAGCTCTGATCGAGCGTCCGGATACTGCGACAGGCGAAGCCTCTTACCTTCAGTCACCATGTCTCTGGATCCGCCGACATACCTCGCTTCCCTGCAGAACAATATCCGCCAGCGGCCCATCCCATGGGAGGGCGCCGTGCGAACGGGCTCTCTGACCGAGGAGCAATTGGCCAAGATCAGGGCCGTTGAGCGGCTCAAGAAGGATGCGCGGAAGCAGACGGTCGAGGCTGACCTTGATGGCTACCGGATACTCTTCGTGGGAGAGCCTGGCAAGCCCAGCGTCCTAGAATTGGCGCACAAGCGCAACGAGGTCGTCCAGTACATCCTGGTGCTGCTGAACGACTTGCTCGATAGTACGTCTATATCATCGATGCATACCTTTTCAATGGCTCGCATGCCTCGACATCTGCATTTGCTGGCTATACAAATACGGAGCGAGATGAAGCCATCCTCTCATTGCCATCTAGACTGTTCATGCTGACTATTGACTTGTTTAGGTGCCCCATCTCTATCGAAGGCGCTTTTCAAGAACGGCGATCCGTACAAACAGTTTCTACCTCTCCTGGCGCACTCAAATAACTCCGAAGATTACATACCTCTTCTCGCCTCCACGGTGCTCACTAGCCTCATAGCAAACTCCAGAGACGAGTCTCCGGCGACCCTGCAGAAAGCTCTTCCAGGACTTCTAAGCTATCTCTCCGTTTTGACCAAGAACTCAGATGCTGGTTTACAAGATATTGGAGTACAGGAATACTCGTCCTTGCTCTATGGTCGTGCTTCCCGGCAACAGTTTTGGGCGCAGCGCAGCGAGACTGTCACTCCACTAATAGACATCCTGCGCACCGCTTGCGGGGTCGGAAGTACAGACTCGTCAGCTAGCCTATGGAGCGGCACTACGAATACTGCGAGGAGTGCCGGGTTTGAAGGTTCCTTGGGTGGTGGTGTAGGCCTGCAGCTACTCTACCATGTGCTACTAGTCTTATGGCAGCTGAGCTTTGAAGCTGAGGATATTGGAGAAGATCTGAATGAGTGAGCATACCCCCTATTATCTCACAACTAGGTCTGAACTGACCATCTCTAGGGAATACGATATAGTACTTCTCTACACCCAGCTGCTACGCCTTTCTCCCAAGGAGAAGACAACGCGCCTGTTAATCTCCACGCTCTACAGTCTTCTGGTCGCCAACCAGAAGACACTACTGCCTACTGCCGTGCTCGCTCGTCTACCTGGCCTATTGCAGAACCTAAGCACTCGCCATCTGACCGACCCTGATCTGCAGGAAGACATGCAGGCCCTGCGAGATCTGCTTGATGAATACACCAAGACCAAAACTAACTTCGACGAGTACGTAGCTGAGGTCCAGTCCGGTCATTTGCGATGGTCACCACCGCACCGCAGCACCGTTTTCTGGGCAGAAAACGCCCGCAAGATCCTTGAGTTCGAGAATGGTGAAATCCTGCGGCTGCTGGCTGAGATCATGAAGAAGCCATGGGATAATGACAAGGCCGTGTTGGCGATTGCCTGTAACGACGTCGGCTGTCTAGTCAAGGAGGTGCCCGAAAGGCGAGGCCAGCTGGAGAAGCTGGGATTGAAGACGAGGGTCATGGAGCTGATGGGTGAGGCAGACGAGAATGTCAGATGGGAAAGTCTCCGCGCCCTCGGGGGTTGGCTTAAATATAGTTTCGAAGCTAAATGAGTCTGGTCTAAAGTGACGGGCAGTTTCTAAGGCCTCTTTATTTAGTGGGTTCATGAAGAACGGATAAGCATGTATCGAGTCTTGGGCGGACTTGACTCGATGGTCTGAGTATAAGCCTTGATGTATTTTTGTTTGTTCTTGGAATACATAGAGGATGTCTCGCGAAACGCCATGACTGGCCTTCGAGGCATTAGCGATATTTGTGTCACACATTCTGAATGTAACCATGTACGCGCCTTATTTGCATTTGTGTTGAGTGGCTGGTCTCCATTACATATTACATGCACGAGACCTACACGGTGTGATCCAACTGTACCTTTTCGAAACCTCTGCTTCATGACCTGAAAGAAGTGGTCTACAATGATAACCCGCTTTCCGACCGTCTAAGTACAACACGCTTAATTCGACCTCTTTGGCTGATTCAGTCCGAGTCGCTATCCTCGCTGGCTGAGAACCCCTTGAACTCCTCTTCTGAGTCATCATCCAGAAGAGATGTGCCGTTAGGCTCGGCACCTTCACCGTCGTCGTCTTCTTCCTCAATGTCAAAGGTGCCACTGATATCCCACCGGTCACCCTTCGCCTTCTTGCTGACATACTTTACGAACCGCAGCGCACCACTGTCGCGCAACACGATGGTCAGCTTGTTCCATGCCGCCGCCTGGAAGAATAGGATGTTGTCGTCGTCGGAGCTGGACTTGTAGATGGCGGCGTCCTCGGTGCCGTCGTCGTCTCCAGCCATGTAGACCTCGACGCCGCCTACATCCTCCGGCTCCTTGTCTTCCTTCTCTCGTGCGGCCTTCCCTTTGCCTTTGCCTTTGCTCTTTCCATTGGCCTTGCCGTGAGCCTTTGGTTTGACGTCCTCTGCGTCCTCTTCGTCCTCCTCGGCCTCGTCACCCCAGCCAGGCGTGGGTGTGAAGCCAAGATTGAGCTCGAGACGCGGCTTGCCGTCATGCCCCATGGCAAGAGTGTAATCATGCCCGCGACGAAAGCGGCGCGCTATCACGCTGTGGCCCTCGACGGTGCACCCTGTCGCCATCTCTAGCCAGGCACGGAACTGGCGGCTGGGCAGAAGCGTCTCGATGAGCTCCTTGATGGGCGAGTCCGCGGCGTCACTGCCAGGCTCGATGTATAGGAAACGGTGCTTGTGCGGCGGCCGGGCTACTTCCCAGCCGGTCTGCTTTACTATGGCTTTGCTGCTCTCCGGGAGCTTGCTCGCCTCCTGTTTTGTGACATAATCTCGGAGCTTTGCTGCAAACTTGGCATTGAGTATGGTAGGAAGTGTGATACTTGAATTCTCTTCAAAATGCTCTGACATGCGCTCCAGGGTATCGGGGGTGAGGTAGGTGGGCGCAATGTACTTGAGAAGAAACTCGAGGTCCGCCTCGTCAAACTCATGGCTGGTCTCGCCATTTTTCGACTGCTCCACAGGGATGATCTTCTCTTGCGGCTGGTCATGCTGATCGGGGTTGCCCTGCAGCTGCATCAGACCGCTGTTCTTGGCCTGCGCCTCTTCGGCGCCTTCGACATAGCCATCTTCGCCGATCTGGGGGATATGGAACCAGCCGCTGATGGCCATGCGCACGCGGCCGCCCTCCTTCTTCAGTTGCTCCTTGCTCTCGGCATGGTAGACCTCCTCGACGTCATGGAAGCTCTCGCCGGGCTGGACGGCAAAGAAGCTCAGCTGGTTCCACGCCGGGGGGATCACTTTGACGACGTCGGGGCCGCACGTCTTTGCGACCTCGCCATCCTTGCCCTCACGCTCGAAGATGGGGAAGAGCCGCAGGGCACCTCCCCATGAGGGCTGCCAGGGCGTGTCCGGGTCGGTCAGGTACAGGATGTAGCTGACCTTTCTTGAGCCGATGACGTCGTCGTGGCAGAGGAGAAAGCAGCCCGGTGTGTATATGTTGATAGCCATGTCCGTTTTCCGGCCGCTCAGGGGGCCGCAGCCGGTGATGTGTGAGACGTAGTTGCGGAAAGACTCGGAGTAGATGGCATCTCGGAGGGCGAGCAGGGACGGCAGCTTGGCCAGGGCTTCATCGTCAAGGCCGTCAAGGTTGGCGAGGTCGCCGGACTGGTGGATCTTGTAGATGTCGGTCTCCTTGGGGGTGAAGGAGACATTGTTGCGGATTTCCTCGCGGACGGTGCGCAGCAATTGGTCCTCGACGAGGCCGTGGATGACGCTGTGCTTGTAAGGGGAGGATGTTGCGTATTCGGTGGTGTACTTGTTCAGGACACTCTGGTCGAATAGGCCTTTTCTGAATCTTGCCTTTGCCTCCTCGTCGGTGAGGGCTGCAATTGAGATGGAGCGTTAGCTATGAGCAGCGAGATGGGGGAATGTCTTGGGAAAAAGGGAGAGGCTCTTACCATTCTTCGACCGCTTCTTGGCGGGCTTCTTGACGTCGATCTGGGTGCTTGCCTTGCGCTTCATCTTGCGATTGCGAAGAATGTCGACGATGATTGTAAGGAATGGGAAAGACAGCCAGTTCACTCTGGGATCATCGATCCAACGTCATGGAAAATGGCAAAATTGTAGTGTAAAGAACAAAATGTGCTGAAGCATCTCTTCTTCTACCTACTGGATCTGACCTCGCCTCACCTCATCTCATGCGACAACGAGAATGGGCCCGTCGAATCGAACGATTGCTGCTCCCGAAATTTTTCTGCCGCCGGCGGGAAGTGCAATTGATTGCATTAGGTGGGTACATGGGTATCCTTTTGGCGCCATGGTCGCTGGAAAGATGCACCACCCCACTCACCGCTTTACACTTGATCCCACCAAACATCGCTGGCTCCCGCCCCAATGGCCCCGCCCATCTCCTGCTGTTACTTGCTTGTGGCAGACAAGTCAATTGTTGAATGTTCGGCCAAAGCCAACTGGGCATCGTAGCGAGCAGTGTGCATGATGCCAGAAGCGCCCGTCCAAGCCCGACATTTGCCAGACAGCGCCTCAGGCTTAAGGGGTCTCCTACTTGCTGAAAGTCCCGACTGGAAGGCCCCCGGCGGCACGATGCTGTATAGCATTCATGCACTATCACCTCAGGCATGCGAATCATAGGGTCTCGCAGTCTCGGGCAGAGGCTGCATGGACGGACAGGCGCCTACTCAGCCTGCTGCACTAGATGACTAGATGTTGGTTGAGGATGAACGGCGCTACAGAATGTAGAGGTAATGCAAGTGTATCCAATCTTCTCCCAATGCTCTGTCCCTTCTCAGGGGGCATAGATTGTGTTCTGACTACCTAGGTACCTACCTGGGAAAGGCGGGTGGTTACAAGTACTGCGTAGAGGCAGTGCACGTCGGAATTGTCTTGTCTAAACTTAGCACCAGCCCCCAAGTACCAGTGACTCAGTGGGACAGCAGGCAGGCTACCTGGGCAGTAGACAATGAATGTGGGTTCTGAGGAAAAGAAAAGACTCATGTATCTCCGGGTCCTTCGATGATTGACAGACAATTGGATGTTGTGTATGGCACTTCAGGCTGGACTACGAGCAACTCAAATAGGTAAGAAGCAGGCAGTCGGTCCGGCACCACCCCGGGGACAGCCCCGGATTACCGATGACCGCCCCGGCTCCGATCGCTGCAGGGCTCCGGTAAAGCCGTGGCATGGCACTTTTCGGCAAGGCACTTTTCGGCAAAGCACCTCTACCTTATACCTATTTTCAGACACGGACGGGCCTATTCGGCCGCTTTGGGGCACGATTGTCTGCATATCAAGGACGACGCCGTTGTGTTCGCTGCGGTTGAGATTTGCTTTTTACTAATTGACCAGCTGGCTGCTGCTGCTGCAGATATCTAGGTAGGTGGTGAAGTCCCTTAGGTCTTGGAGTCTTGCCTTGGCCCTGAAGCTTCTTGCTGCACGATATGCCCCGATTGGCCCTGCCATTGGCCACTTTTTACGAGTCACGCTACCAGAACTCCGGGAGCTGCTTAGGTAATTTCGAGATTGCAAACATTTGTCAACTCGCAACTCTTCACCTTCTCGAAATCACTGATCTGCACAAGACACCAAGCTCAAACCAAACCTACAGTGACAGTCCCCCTGCAGGCCGCCACGAGCAGGCAACTAAGCCTGACCGTTAGGTTCTCGCTGCGTGCCTTTGCCCCTGCCCCTGTCCCTGCCCCTGCAATGCAGAGTCTAAATGCCGCTGGGACATCTTCCGCATGTGGCATCGCCTCCCACTTACAGCCCTAGAGGCTGCATTAGACCTCATTCAATCATACCAGGCGTACGTCACAAGGCTGAACTAAGATATCTAAGCCGGGCCTTTCGAGTCAGATTCACTTCGACAGACGCTCCTGTAAATCCGCTCTCATATAGCTCCGGGCGACGTGATTAAAAGGGGCCATCCCAGGATCGCAACTCTGATGTGTCGTGGCAGACATTGTCACTTCACAGCTGAAAGACTCTGGACCTTCATATCTTCCCATGCTCCCTCGGTCACGATGTCTTCCCCGGACTTCTCAGACGATCTGACTAGCTCTTCATCTCCATCTCTACAAGTAGGTGCGCCCAAGAAGAAACGTGCCAGCAGGCCAAAGGTCAGGACCGGCTGCGTCTCCTGCAAAGCCCGCCATGTCAAGTGCGATGAACGGAAACCAAGCTGTTTGCGCTGCGAGAAGGCCAAGCAGCCCTGTGGGGGATATGCCTCTCGCGAGAAGAAACCTGCAAAACAGCTCGCCTCGAGCCGAACCATTCTTCCACGCGCAGACCAGCCTCAAGCCGGCGGCCTGCATATTCACGTCCCGAGGTCTCGGCAGTCCATCTTCTTGAGCGGTGCTGATGTCGGTTATTTCGATTATTTTCGTCACTCGCTCATTCACGATCTTTCTGGCCAGCTGAACTCGAATTTCTGGACAAAGACAGTGCTGTACGAGTGCATGACGGACCCATGCACCCGCTACGCTGTCTTGGCCATAGGAGCCCTCTCTCGGGGTCTATCAATATCTCAGGGTTACGAGAGTTTCTCCAGAGTTCCAATATCGAGTTTTCGCGATGGTGTCGCATATATCCTGAACGACCATCACAGGTCTGCCATATGTCATGTAAGCGACTGTTCTCGCGTAATCATGCCCCTCAAACCTCCTCCTGCCTTCCAAAGGTATCCCTGGCCACAATACTTGTTCAGTCGCAGGAAAGCCGGTCTTTCCTTACACCCTTATAGACGTTACGTTATGTTCGACACAATTTGATAGAAAGGTATGCTGACATATTGAATGAAGCATACCAAAGCGCTCTCAGCATTTCGAGATCGTGTCGGTCACCATGCGACACCCAAATCCGTTCTTGTCACCACTTTACTTTTAATCACATTCGAGCTTTTACAAGGAAATCTTCCTGCTGCAGACGCCCTCATTTCCACTGCCCTGGAGCTACAAAAAGATTACCTCGATACTAGAGCCGCTCCGAATTCTTCTATCGCCGAAGACCTCGACGAGCTGGCCTTCATGCTTGTTCGACTCTCCATGTTCTGCTCATACAATCCATTTTTCGTGTCCCAAAATAGTACAATTCGTATTCACAAATGCCCACCCATCGATCAAGTCGTACCGGGAGACATTGAGACGGGCGTTTCATGCGAAGTCTCATCCGATTCTCAGGCCTGGATGAAGACAAATGCGGCGCATGTTCTAACTTTGTGGAACCACTTTGGGACAAACTGCCTCGTCTTTGTCTACAACAGTGCTAGAGTCAAAGAGCCCGCTTCCATGGAGCCGATGCAAGCACAATTTCTTGCGCATCTAGCCCGGTGGCGCGAGATTCTGGACCGCTATTTGGGGGTTCCCGAGCTGGATCTAGTATCGAGGAGGAGCATTAAGGTCGCCCTCATCCAGCACAAGAAATACTACGTTTGCGTCAAGAGCGTCTTGGATCGCACATGGCTTACTTGGGACGACTTCGGACCTGAATATAGCGAGATCATCAACGAGGCCGCGGAGATTCTTCCCGCGCCAAGTGAATTGCAGCCCCTGACCACAGCGCCCGTTGTCGGCTTCACTTTTGACGTCTTTCTCTTGCCGCTTCTTGTCTTCGTCATCTGCAAGTGTCGCATACGGCCAGACGAGCGCGAACGTGCCCTGCAACTCTTGGAGACCAGACTTACTTGGCGGGAAGGCGGCTGGGATGCCAGAGTCTTGGCCGAGGGACTTCGAGCTATGGTGGCGTTGGAAGAGGCAGGCTCCATTATGACACCAGATGGCAACTCCTTCATTCCGCCCAAGTCCCGATATCACTGGACTTCTGCACGCTGGGACAAGGGGACTTGCAGGCGGAAATTGATCGCTACTTGCACGAGGTGCATCGGGGACAAGTTTGGTCAGCCGGTGCAGGTTGAGATACCTGTTCACCTTGGTCGAAGTTTGGACATGGTAGAGTGTTGCCAATGTTATCGATGTAGCAGCGACTCGACATAGTGAATCGCTCCTTTTTCTAAACAATACAAACTATTTAGAAACATCACCATACTCTCTACCGCAGTGACTTATACAGTTCTACCCATCACCCAACATTCGATGTTATTTCGACGCAATGTTCTCCAACCGCCACGGCAATAACTAGCGATATGTCTATGATAATCTGAGCAGCTGTGCGAATTTGGGCAGCGGCAGAATCTTTTGGAAGACTCAAGTCCTACGCTTGTTACAAGGCAATTTGTAAACCTCCGACCTTGTGTCCACTAAATCATGGATTTGTACTTTGACCAATGAGGAAGGTCAGATGTTGAAATAGCGTCCTTCACGGACTTGGGCATATGCCATCCTTTAGGAGAGGATCGTCAATAAGTCATAGGCATTACAAGTGCACGGCGCTACCACAAGAGTTGATCCCGACTTCTAAATTCTGTCAGTTGGCTACCCGATTTCAATTCTATTCTACTGCCCTGGCTTCGTTGATCTCTTTATCCCGAAATCATACCAATATGGATATGACGACAGTGAGGGGGCAATTCCCCGCTCTAAGTCAGGAGGAGCAGGTGTATTTTGACAATGCAGGTGGAAGTCAAACTCTCGGCAAAGCTATTGACTCGTATGTTGATAATGAGTTCTTATAATAACAAGTCCATCACTTTACGGTCACTTCGATCAGGCATCTAACTTTAAAACGCTCCCAGTATACACAACTACTTGAGCGGAACTAACGTACAGCTCGGCGCAACTTATGCGACCGGCAAAAAGTCTACATCACTCTATGAGAAGGGCTATGAGGCTGCCGCAAAGTATATCAACGCCTCGCGTGATGAGATCGGTATGCATATAGTGTTGCCCTACGTAGATGTCAATTAACAAGGCATAGTGTTGGGGGCATCCACCACTCAACTCTTCCGGAACCTCTCTTACACGCTGAACTTCAATGCCGGCGATGAAATTGTCATCTCTGCACTGGATCACGAGGCAAATATTGCGCCATGGGCTGATCTGGCAGAGCGACAGAACTTGACCCTAAAGTGGTGGAAGTCTTCGACCAAGGAGCAACCAAAGCTGCTGGCCGAGGACTTAGAGGCGTTGCTATCTGATAAAACGAGACTTGTCACTTGCACGCATGCTAGCAACATCTTGGGGACGATCCACGATGTTAAGAAAATCGCCAGCACGGCTCATGCAAAGAACCCAAATGCGCTGGTGTGTGTCGATGCTGTGGCGTACGCGCCACACCGTAAGATCGATGTCAAGGATTTGGGAGTAGACTTTTATGCATTCTCCTGGTACAAGGTTTGACATTACTTCGATAGCTCTGGATTATCTCACCGGTTGCTAAGTCTTGGGTAGGTCTATGGCCCGCACGTTGGCATGCTTTATGCAAGCACACAAGCGCAAGAGCAGATGCGGTCACTCGGCCACTTCTTCAACCCGCACAAGAATCTCGAGAACAAGTTGGGATTGTCTGCCTCCAGTTACGAATTGGTGGCAGCCATTCCCACCATCACAGCGTATCTATCGGACAAGTGGACGGGTATCGTGGAACAGGAGCAGCAGTTGCAGAAAACATTGCTAGACTACCTGAACGGCCGCGAGGACGTCACCGTTCATGGGGAGACGAACACAGACAGCGCAGTTAGAGTGCCGACGATTAGCTTCACTGTCAAGGGTTGGAAATCGCAAGATCTAGTAGAAGCCGTCGAAAAGGGGTCGAAGTTTGGGTTTCGTTGGGGATCATTTTACTCGTACCGCTTAGTAGCTGAGTTTCTAGACCTGGGAAAGGACGGAGTCGTGAGAGTCAGTATGGTGCACTATAATACAGGTAAGATTTCCCAATATTTCTCTATCCGTCCAGAGGACTAAAGTTGCGTTAGTCGACGAGATTCAAGCTTTCGTAGCCGCCCTGGATAAGGTGTTGTCGGAAGCAAGCCAATGATAGGGGAAATTGCATGAGGTAGAAAGGTTGAAATTTGTCCACAACCACTGAGAAAACATCGTATATACTACAAATGGAACAAGATCAAAGACCCCTCAGAGTTGGGAGGAGCAGGGTGACCGATGAACTTTTAGTGACATCACGTGCGAAGCTTTCGCTCCCAGAATCGACGTATCTGAATTTTAGCCTTAACAGATTCTCTTCGCCATCACTTTACCACAACACTGGCGCCGAGATGATACCATGACTACTACGCCTTTACTTCCTACCCCAGACACGTCTCACGTATCATACTCGCGGGTCTACGAACCAGCAGAGGACTCGTTCCTGTTGCTAGATACACTCTCGGCAGCGTCAGAGGTCAGCTTCCTGACAGGCAGATTTCGCGACCATGTGCCGCTAGTATTAGAAGTTGGAACTGGCTCAGGAGTTGTCATAGGGTTTATCAATGCACAGGCGCAACCTCTATTTGGTACCCGCAACGTGCTCACTGCAGGCATCGATATCAACAACTTCGCCTGCAAAGCTACATATGCAACAGCGGCCAAGGCAGAAGAAGAGAATCCTGAAACCCACGGAAGGTATATAGGATCAACGCAGGGGGATCTCACAAGTCCCTTCAGGGATGGCCAGGTAGACATACTGGTGTTCAACCCCCCCTATGTACCAACAGACGAGTTGCCCAAACAGAACAGGCGGTTCATTTCGGATGCAGACTCCGGGGACAAGGCCGACTTCGAGAGGGATTCATATTTACTCTCCTTGTCTTATGCTGGTGGAAAGGATGGAATGGAAACAACAGATCGCTTGATCGACAGCCTTCCAAGCGTCTTATCAAAGCAGGGTTGTGCATACGTGCTACTTTGCGCCCAGAATAAACCAGAAGAGGTTAAACAGAGAATTAGAGGGTTTGGGCCAGACTGGAAGGTTCTAACAGTGGGCGAGAGCGGGAAGCAAGCTGGGTGGGAGAAGCTTCAAATCATTAGGATATGGAGGGAGAATGACGCATAATCTTCGAACCTCTAACGCACAATTGAATTTTCTGGGCGTTTGGGCGTTCCTATACGGACGACAATAAAAAGTCGCAAGGCTAGCCAAAGACTCCTCCAATCAGTCTTTCTCATTTTCTGTTCTCCTGAACGCCAAAGAACCTCCGTGAATGTCCAGCCAGATATGGGCAGCCCCTCAAGAATTTAGAGAAATGCCACAGATTTGCCGTATTCCTAACAACAGGTACGACTGTGAAAGTCGTCATAGTATGCATCCGAGCTCGGCCATGGGCCGGTAGTGAATTTTGGCCACGCGTAGGGGGTCCGTCCTCCAGCATCATGGCCGGTGACGCGCATAACACCAGTTCAGGGCGTTTAACCTCGACCTCTGAATCCTCGCCCTCTGCCTCCGCCACGTCCTCTTCCGCCGCGAGCACCGCGACCACCACGGCCACCGGCGGCACGCTCGACCTCCTTGCGAGCCTTGTTCTTCGGTTTCGGCGCATCATCAATTAGGAGTGTGTCCAAGGGCAGAGATTCTGGTAGGATGAAGTAGCGAATCGTGGAGCCACGAATGTTCATGGCATCAAGAGGGATCGGGTCCTGGCCCTTCGCGGTCATCTTGACATTTCGCAGAGCCGTGTTCATCTGCGGTGAGACGGATGTTATTGTGCCATGGACAATGGTGCCTGCGGGTTAGATTAGCATGAGCAATACTATATTTTTCAGGACTCCTCCAGCCTCACCATTCTTCAGCTCAATGGTCACCGTCTCGTTGACGCATTTCATCAAGAATCTAGGCGAAAGGGTTAGCTTGGGAGCTCGACGACATGCACCTTCGGAGGGAAGCCAGTTCAGCACACATAGTGCAAAGCAGATAATGCAACATGGGTAGCTTACCTGACGAGCTTCATCTTGTCTGACTCCGCGACAACGTTCTCGTGGAGATTAAGATTGACAATTCGGAAGGGTCCGATTTATGAAGGCCTTGATGAACTCCAGTTCAAGGCTCCAAACTAAGGTAGATCGATAATTTTAGTGTCACGTGCCTAGTCCGGTGCATCAACAAGGTACCTATGGAGTACAGCCAACCCCGCAGAGCCGCGAGCCAAAACATAGGTAGCGGAGGGGTAGCTCTCCTTCACATAGATATCTATAGCTCGAGAGACTTCAAGATTGGGATATAATCCATTCATTCATTCCATTCTCTAGGTCTCCTATGGGGTATTCTGTGCTGTGACTAAAATGACAATCGGGGTCTTCAACGTTTATTTACAAGGATTGTGTAGAAGAGCAATGAGATGTCGCGGATTGACTGCTGGAGATGCCCGAGCCTCGCTCTAAATAAGACTTGATAGATCGCCGCGCCGTTAGTTTCCTAGGTGCCGTGACTAGGCCGAGATATTGATGCCTCTTCCATCATGCCTATTTATTCTTCTCGTTCTCGCTCTCAGAGACCTTCTCCCACTCGTCCTCGGTGCTGACGCTTGACTTGGTTCCCTGGGATGATGCCTCGGTCTGGCGACGCGTCAACTCGCCGGTTTGCTCAGTTGCCTCCACCTCCTTGCTCCCCGTAATAGGCTTATCCGTTGCTTTCGCGATGACGGTTTCCACCTCTGTCTCGCTGTCCGACGAGGACAGCGGCGCAGTCTTTCGTGCGACCTTTGCCTGCTCGCTCAACTCCCGGGCATGACTGGCCTTGAGCTCCCGCGCAAACCAGTTGATGGCCCACCACAGCCCACCGCACAAGATGGACAGTATCACGAAGTGGATGCTGTATGTCGCAAAGAGCAGGCCGCCAAGGACGACCTGCAAGGCGGCGAAGGTGACATTCGTGGCGATGAGGAGACTAGGCGTCGGTCCGGGGGTGAAGATGGACTCCCATAGGTCCTCGAAGAACTTGGACATGATGATCTGTGATGTCTGGATTTGGGAACCCCTGCCGCATGCGTTTGCCAGTCCGGTGTAGTTGTTGTGTGGCTTGCTCAAGAGACTTGCGATCTAAGTGTTGGAGACAAGTAAGCAAGAGAGCTCGTAAATGCTTTGAGGGCCAACTAAGCAGGCAAGAGAGGAAGAGGAAACGAAACGTCGCAGGTTCAGCCTTGAATTTGGGAGGGCAGGTTGCGCTTAACTGACCTTGGCCTTGTGACAACGTGTTGTTTATGGTTATGGGGGATACCTATACCTAGGTAGGGCACAACCGACCCGTCAGCCAGTGACGAGGCCGCGCGCTTTGTCCGAAGATCTTCAAAGGTCAAGTGCCGAAGCGTTGCTTTTAGGCGTCAACCGTGGGCTCTCTAGTAGCTGAAGCAAGGCAGATAGAGCGCAACGAGCAGCAAAGAGTGTTGACGCTCTCAGGTCAACAAGGACAGATGCGCTGTCTGCTTCATGCCCCGAGGTGAGTATGTTGTAGGATAGCAGCCTTGGGCTCAATGAATGCGACGACGGGGGGAACAGGTAGTCGGAGTCAAGGGGGCCGCCACTTGGATGGAGGGGCTGGCGGGCGGGCTGGCGGCGGGGGAGTACCCTAATTAACAGGTAGCTGTCACGCGCAGCTGGTCTGGTCTGCCCGGGGTTGCTGATTGATTACCTAACAAGGTGAGATGACGGTAGAATTAACCACCTAGGTACATGCACTCAAGGCCAGATCTGGAGTGTCTGTATAGTTGATCTGCCCTATGCCTGATAATTTCTCTACGTTGGGTGAGTCCGCCAGAGAGCCTTTCGGATTCATGCAACCTTTCACGATTTCTTGTATCGAGTTCGTAATGAAGCTGGGCGCTCGCTTTGTGGTATCCATCGAGTCAAGCAGCAGGCGTTTCTGCTTGCCTTGACAATTCCAATTCTATGAGCAAGCGCGGCAACCAACCCCCACTCAAGTCTCCAAGCAACTTGAACCCCAGCGCTCTCTAGATCCTAGTCTATCCATGCCCAACCAGCTGGCGCATAGTGCGGCTTAACATGGGATCGAAGGTCGTGCGTGGATCACAGACCGAAAGAGTCCTGGATTGATGATATAAGTTAAGGTAGGTACCTAGGTAGATAGGGTGGGACGAGCCTGGCCTTATAGTCATTGTCGAGGCACTTGAGACCTAGCAAAAGCTACGAACGCGTGCTTGGTCCCTGACTTGTATGGTTTATATTAAATTAGCACCGTAAGCAAAATTATGTTCGAGAGGTCGTGATATATAGCACTGGTAAGGTGGGTAGGGTAATGTGGTCGGGCGTCTGATGGCTACTAGGTATCTTCGGAGCTGGTTGTCTTCGCCAAGATCGCATTGTACCTATCTAGATACCTGGGTAGCCCTGTGCTGCCCGTGCGCCGGCTTCCGACCCAAAACTAACAGCACTGACAGCCTCACTAAGCTAGCCCGGCCGGCGGATCACCAGCTGTCTCGAACCACCACCACCACCACCACCACCACCTTCCTCGGCATCATAGGTATCTACCTCTGAACATTATTCATATACGACAACACATTACAGCGATATCTGGGGTTTTGCAAGGAAAGAGCCCCGTGCGTCCTCACCAGATCTTGACCGTCTCTAATCTGCAACCGCTCCGCGTGGATGCACGGCCGCGAGGTCGAGCATGTGCAACTGCGAATGTCCTCGATGAAGTGACGGCCCACAACGCTGCATCGAGTGTACCCATCTTATCTCCCCATCGAGTCGACCGAGAACAAGCTGCATCATGGATGTAGACGACGACTACATACCCGTGCCACATATCCATACACCTGCTTACAAGATCAATGCCGTTACTGGTAAGGACGACGCTGGCTTGAGGCCGGCCTCAGCCACAGCCACGGATCGAACAACATCCACCATATCCAAGTTTCTCAAGGGCAAAGAGCGAGAATGGGATGCCTTATCACAGCGGAAGGGCCCCCTCACCCTTCTCGAGCTTCCGGTGGATATCCTCCGATTGATAGTCAAAGAGGTGAACGAGCACCTTTCCAAATAGTCATGACACCTTCGTGTCGCTCTTCGCTAACCAGCTTACTCTACTCCAGATAACTCACACAAACGACTTGACCTCTCTAGCCTTGACAAATTCCACTCTCCACAACCTCGCGGTGCCTCATATATATGCCAGGTTCGACATTGTCTGGCCCGATGCCCACATGACCTCGTCCGATACCAAGAGTGTGGATGCGCTGACTTACGGGCTATCGACTTTGTGCCTTGGCAGTTCCTTTGCGCGCACAACCCAGCGTCTCTTCGGAAACGGCGTACGGCCTGGACGCCAGCTGTCCAAGTTCGTCGGAAACGAGTATGCCAAGTACACCCGCAAGTTCTCGCTTGGAAACGGGCCCAATGACTGGGTTGCCGAGTATATGATTACGAAGGAGAGCGGGAAGATGCTTGGAACGCTGGTCGCATTAGCTGTGGCAAAGATGGTGAATCTGGAAACGTTCGTCTGGGACATGCCAACCGGGGTGCTATCAGACATATTCATGGCTCTGTCTTCGCTGCCGGAGCAACACTCTAACCAGGAGTGCAAATTGGAAAGAGTATGGATAAGGTGGCATGACAACAACGAGAGCCCGGCGTCATCGTCGAGTTCCAGTCCAAGTTCAACATCGCAGCCTACGGCAGTTGTTCCGCTAGGTAGCACCCTGACTCCCATCGGCATTTCATTACCGCCTAGTGCTGCTCACCCAGCACCTCGACCGGCAATTCCTTACTCAGAGAGCCAGGTCGAATACCCCACATTCAGCGTGTTGCCAGCTCTCAAGAGCCTGACAGTATTGGACATCGATGAGCTAGCTTACTTGGATGAGATGGCCGTTTTGGTCGAGAGGTCGAAGGATAAGCTGCAGGAGCTACGAGTTGGTGTTTCGAGCAAGGCAACGCACAAGGACTTTGTCCAGACTTGGGATGGCGATAAGTTGCAGCAGATTGATCACAATGCCAGATGGCCAGGCGAGAGCACCATAGGTGAGAGACGATTGGGAGGAGTTCTTGGAGTCCTGGTGGGCCGGGTCTATGACATACGACGCAAAGGTGGCGGGAAGGCGCGAGAGCCTAGTGTAACGCAACCGGCCACGTCTGATGAGATACCCATCGCGGGAAGTTCATCGCAAGCAGCCGGAGTCGGGCATGATGGCATCGGCTCATCTCCAGCCAACCAGGGCGAAGTGGTCGTGTCGTCCGAGTTGCAAGCATCGGAGCCAGCAGCGACCTTGGGAACTCCGCTCTCTCCTCAGCAGACATTCGCAATGGACCTTCCGACCGCAAGCCCAGAGAAATCAAGCAGTTCGCTTCGCTCGAGATTGACTCGTGCCACAAAGGCAGAAGGCGTCGGCCGGAAGAGGTTGGAGGGCAAATTGAAGCTCCAGACGCTCGAGCTGGAGAGAATACCGTTATCCATGCAAGTCTGCGCCAAAGCCTTCGACTGGACTGTTTTGACCAACCTGACTATCTTGGAATGTGCACAGCATGAGAACCTCTGGAAACTCTTGAAGAAGCAGTTCCTTCCAACCCCCATGGTTGCCGGCTTCGGGATATCCCCCAGCTCGAGCAAACAAGTACAAAACGCACCGTTGCAGTATCACCTCAACCTGAAGCATATCCACACCGACATCACATCACCTGCACTGATCAGCTTCATCAAGGAGACACTGGCACCCAACACCCTAGAGGCCCTGTTTCTACAGGATCGACGACGGGCCAGCGGACCACCGCCGGTAACTATCGATGCGATCTTCCGAGGGGCTTTGAAGCGGCATCGGTTGAGTCTTCGCAAGCTACTTTTAGACAGTGCCGCAAAGGCTTTGGCTACAGGATCCGGCCCAGAGAATATTAGGTGGCGGAACTGGGTGCTCTCAACGGAGATGATTCTATACATCACAAGTGGTCGCATGAGCAACTTGAGGGAGCTGGCTGTATCCATGGACTACAGGGACTGGGTAAGCATCCTATCATACCAACTCCCCTCTGAATGGCTTCTTTCTGTGTCTGTGTCTGTGTCTGTGTTGTCACGGCAAAAAATAGTCGTAGTGCTTGCTAACACCAGGATTCGTGCAGCACACGTTCTTGCAGCGCCTCCCAAACGTGCCACAGCTTCGCTCCCTCAACATCCCATACATTGCTGACCACGTCATCGGCAATTTCGAACCCAAGGAACTAGCGCTCCAGATCGCGGACATAATCACACTGAGACCAGAAATACAGCTCTGCTATGTTGGCATCTCAACAAAATGTTTTGAAATCCTGGAGACGCCCCTGTCCGACAAGACCGGGAATGGCCTCCTCAACGGCGGCTTGTCAGACAGCCCTATCGACAGCGTGACGGGGGCCCACAGTGGCCTAGTCACTGTAGTAGATGCATCAGATGATGGAGAGAGCGTAGATACAAGCGACGATGAGAACGACGATGACGATGACGATAACGACGAGACGGAGGACGAAGATGAAGGCACCCCCACTAGCCCTACTGACCCTGATGAGACACAGTCGGAGCATTCAGACGGGGCGGACTCGGAGGACTCGTTCGTCGAACCGGATAGCGGCAGCAAGACTCGCCTGCGTCTACGCGAAATCTTGTTCTACGACGACAAGGTGGCCATCTTCAAAGCCCGCCATGGGAGACTGTAAAGGGTATCGAAGAAGCAGGAGGGACGTCATTGCGCAGGTAGAGAGCGGGAGAGGACGAGCATATCAAGGACTCAAAACAGGATTTGTACAGATTTAGGACTGTTGGATACCCCAAAGGCATCGTGAGCATCATTCAGCATCATGTGGTGTATTTCGTGTTGTATTTTGCAGCGCGTCCGGTGTGACTTTTTCTCGCTGCTTGCTTTTCCAGCGCCCACCTGTGCGGAGGAACATTTAACCTCGACACACTGGGGTGAACACGATGCTATTCAACGGCGTAGTGAGATAGTGTCCGGCACGGGGGTGGAGATACTGGTGGCACAGCGCTCATACCTAATTAATCCCCCAGAGCATACAGGCACGAATACAGCATATTCCCACGAGCGTCCTAATTTGGCATGAACACAAACACTAATCTTGCATCGTCGAGAATCTTGAGTCCTACTTCGGAAAGGTGCGTACTCTTTCTGTCCTGTGGCCCAGTCGGCTGTGCGGGTGCCAACACAGCCGCCTCAGACACTGCAACCTACCTTACTAGGGCGAGGGTGAAATCACTGGCGATCCTTCGGACAGGGGGGACGGGGGGAAGGGTTCATTGACGTTTTCATTTTTGCAACAGCAAAGCATTGTCAGGATGTGGTTATCTCCCCCTCCGTCGTGCATCGACGGCTACGACAAGCGGCAGAGGCGCTAACGGGACGTGTGAGCCGTCTGACGCCACGGCTAATTTACCCTCAAACGCCGTTGTTTGGACATGGTGGATTCTATGCCTGCCGAACCCTGTATGGTTAGATATGTTGTTGAGATGGGACGGACGGTTGAGAAAGAGGGGGTGGTGATGGTGGTTGTAAGGAGGGTGTTAAGGGGTAGAACAAGCCGGGGTGAGCCATGACCACGGCCTATCGACGGTCAGTGCATGGGGAGGATGTAGGGCTGGAGGATGACGGGGGCCACCGGTTTCGACGGAATCCTTCGATGCAAAGTCCTTCGTGGGCGAATGGCAGCGCCTCCTGCTGGTAGACTGGTGATGATGGGTGCCGGGAGCTTTGGAAAGGGGCTTTGTGATGGTGGGGGCGTGTGCATCTCTGGGTCTTGGACTCTCCCCTGGGGTATGGCAGTGGGCGGTCTAGCATCGTGGGAACGGGCGTCGATGGCGTGTTTGGTCCAGGGAGGTTGACACGTTGCTCAGGGGGACGATGAGGGTGTTTGCAACACTGCCGTCTCCTGATCTTGGTCTGTGTCGTCATGGGACAGCAAACCAGGAGGCAGACGATAACATTCGCTGGTTCTCAGGAGACCTCGAGCAACTAAATCGTCACCGGCGCCAAAGTGGCTCCATACCTGCTTGGAGAGGTTTATCTCGACAGGTATAATTTTGCCCGTTTTTGCCAACTTTCTCGGCGTTATCTCTGCACAAGTTTGTGCCATTTAGACCGACGTTAAGCTTGGAGGATCACCATCCCGAAGGTATTCTGCCGGACAAAGAAGGTGCTGACAGGAAGTTACGAAAGTCTGTCTTCGACATAGACTAGCTTAAGATTCCCCAGCGCCTCTGTGCATCTTACCGCTGCTTTGAGGCTAAACCGCTCACCCAGGAGAGTGGTGCTCTTCACTCCCAGGACTATCTTGCAGTCTTACATGTGTGCTACCAATTACAGCTCTGGAACAGCGGGATGGTTGGTAATTGACAGCAAGGTTGGTATAGGACCAGGCTCTTGGGATCGGATTTGGACCATGGGCAATGCGTCTCCCCGGCCGAGATGATGGCGGATGTTGGAACCCGGCAGGATCGAGTCGATTTGCCGCCGGCTAGCCCCAGGATCTACGGCCCTGCGCCTCGTAGTTCGACGATTGAGGCATCACAGCCGCGACGCTCCAAGATAAAAACACATGTGAGACAGAAGCTTAAACGGAAGCCTAGATACAGCCCCAATGATAGGGCGGAATTCGCTCTGGAGATGGATGGCATAGCCTTGTCACTTTCTAGTGGCGAACTCCCACGGAAGCGTTCCCGTTGCGAAGAAGCGGTGATAGAACTTCTACCGAACAGCCACGCAAAAGTTGCAGCCAGACATCGCAGAGCTTTTCAGCCACGATGACAACAGAAGGGTCATTCTGTCACGTCTCATAAGGCTGAGTGAGGAGGCGCTGGACAGTGCCCCTAGCATTCTTGTGCCACAAGAGACACGCCTACTCCGCAGAAAGCCAACACTTTGCATGCGCGAGATGGAGCATTAGACTTCTGTCTAACCTCGGCGCCGGCTCGGGTACATTTCGCAGACATTCTCTTCGTCTCGGGTCTTCAACGTTCCCAAGCGCATGTACGAATGGGCCAATGGGGTCTGTCTTCGCCCAGCGCTCCTGACCTTATCTCAACCTTCAACGGTATGAGACCCTTGGCGTGAACAGGAAGCTGTGGTTTCTGTATCTACAACATGCTACACCTACGCTTGTCTGCAACGCCCCCGGACTAGGACTGCGGACTTGGCGGAGTTGCGCCCACTGGGATGATGGAAGATATGAGCAGGGGCCTTGACTGGCAGGATGAGGACTGATTTGATATTCTCGTGATTCCTGACCGCTGATGCATACCCCGTGTTCAATGCGCTAGGGACTTACTCTGGTGGCAGGATCAAGAGAGACCAACGGAATTGATATACCCGTAACTTAATTCTTGGAGGATCGTAGACCTAGCTTAGACGCAAGCTCTTTTTCGAGCAACTAACACAGAAGCAGTAGAGTTTACAGATATGCTTGTTTTCTCGGCAAAACGCCGCCTTGGCTCCTAAACTGAGAGAAATAGGGCCGAACCATGGCCTACGTCAGAGGCCTTGCTTGCAAATGCGTGGCTTGTTTGGGAACGCGGCCTGCTGTACGCGGCAACCCGTAGTCGTACTGGGTTGGCGATGATGCTGGTAGAGTGTCTTCACTTTACCATGTTAGGGCAATACGATTGACTGGAGAGAGTGGGAAGCACGCAGATCGTTCCCGGGAAGGAGAGAATGGCAACCTGGTGCACCGCCCGGGCAAATCCGTCCAGTCCCAGCAATCATTTAACCTCTATTCGGGGACTGTCGATCGGAAGGGCATCTGACAGCGATATAGAGCGTGTACTTACGTGTCGGCCGACGACGATCGGCCCTACACTAAGGCGCTGTCCTACATGATCACGCAGGGAGACACGCAGACACAACATCAACGAATACACCAATACTGGTACATCACGCCCGACCATGTCCCTTGTAGCCGTCTTGTCCTTGGACAGTGCGGACAAGAGTGGATAGCTCAACTCACTTAGCTCGCGCGCATGTCTCTGCAAGTGCAAACTTGGAGGTTCGATCTGAGCGCTGCTTCGCGAGCTTACGAACAAGTCGGCAAGCCCCCGACTTTCCTTCTTGCTGTGGGGGGTGCTCTAGGTCGAGTCTTTAGTTAGTTAGAGAGTTCCACATGCAACGCTGTTCTTGTTGATTGAAATGGCCACGCTACGCAGATGAGCTTGGAAACCGAATAGCTTCTGCGCTAATTAGGTTATTAGCGTTGGATTGGCCGTTTAGTTGTTTTCGAGTCGGCCGAGTCTTTTCGTAGTTGAGTCCATAGGGCTGCGCTTGGATTGTGGTGAGTCCGAATTACCGTGCCCGAGTTTCGCTGGAGTTACTATGTATGTGGTTAAAGCCGGGAATGCATTCGGACTCGCCAAAAGCGAGAGCCGAACGGGCGTGTCAGGTGTCTGTTAGAGCGGTGATGAGACAGGCCAAGTAATACGCTTCACGACAAACAGACGGCTGGTTCGGATCGCGCTCGGGCTTGACATCTGCTCTGTCTGGGTCAGGGTATATCTGTCCTGTCTTGGCTCGCCTGCGAAGCCTTACGGAGTACGCCAGTTCAGCAACTTGCAAGCACGATTCATGAAAGCGTATAATTTGCCGTTTTGGTGATGGGCCCATCGTCGTAGCACATAACATCATGGCGGGGACGGCATGGCTCACCCTGATCGGGGCTTGCAAATGAGTGCCGGGTTTACTAGCCACTTAGTAGAAACCAGGCTTAAGCCGGGTCAACGCAAGCGAACGACCGGGTCGGCAACTGTTGGGCGCCAGTGACTACGAAACGATCTTATGAGGCAGTTTGTGATGGGCTGTCTCGGTCTCAACTGTGTGTGTGCGTACGCAGCAGTGCAGTGTGATGCAGGTATTGTCAAAGAGGGCAAAATTCTAGAAGGACATGCGGACCGTTCGAACCAACCGCCGAGACGTCACGGGAGAAAAAAGCGACGCCTCTGGTATCATAGTGACGACTCGTCTGTGCTATTTGCAGTGTTGCACGAACTGCGTACATGTACATACGGGCCAAGTCCGAGCCCTCGGGTCGCCTTGGAGAACTCTCGCGTTGAAAGCGAAAAACGGCAGCGGCTGCCTGCTTAGAGTAGTATCTGGTTGATTAATCAACGGCTGGGCCAAACGAGATGCTATTCTGGTTCTGGCGTTCTCTCTGTCTGTCCATGTGTCTTGTCTCTTGAGGTGGTCCTCGGGATACCTTCCCCATCCGCCTCTCTTCTCTTTCACTTGGGTAAGAGTCGTAAGACCGACCGCGTAAGGGGGCACTTGCGTAGGCCTTTGTGGAGGCATTGCCCGACCGGCCGACGGACGGAGTGACACGGACAAGACGGACAAATAATTGAACCCTGAGCCACCATTTTGCCATCCTTGCCGCCCTACAGGGCTGTACCTAGCCCCCCAGCCTAGCGAGATGGTGAGAAAAGACAGGAGGAGTAGGTATACCCCCCTGAGGAGACAGGGAGACTTGTGCCCCAAAATACTATAGTGGAATTAAGATTCTGACCGACTCCAACAATCGAACATCGCTGGGAGATGAGCATCCTTCCCACTAGAATAGAGCATATACGCAGTCTTGGGTAGGTAGGTACATGCTATTAATGAAGAAGAAAAAACAGCGCTAATCCCTGGGCCACTGTCCAGCAGATACCATTGCCCCAGAGAGGC